TAATAATAATAATAATAATAATAATAATAATAATAGTAATAATAATAATAATAATAATAATAATTATTATTATTATTATTATTATTATTATTATTATTATTATTATTATTATTATTATTATTATTATTATTATTATTATTATTATTATAATAATAATCATCATCATCACTATCATCATCATCAATCATTATATTCTACTTTTGCACGTACTTTCGTAGAGAAAATTCACCACAACCAAACATATTCTCATTTCTACACCTACATAAAACTAAAAATACACCTTCATCCAAACATATTCCCATTTTCTACACAAAAACCAATAATCTACTTTTTCCATCAGAAATTTTGAAAACTAGAAATTTGTTTTGGAAACATAACCAAACATCCCCAAACTCATTCACCAATCATGGTTCTAGAGAGAGAAATGAACGAGGACGACGAAGAAGCCATGCTGAAAAACCAAGCAGAAGAGGAAGAGGAAGAGGAAGAAGACAGTAGCAGTACTAGTAGTACTAGTAAGGGTACGCCGCCGTCGCCGTGGTGCCGGAAAATGATGGTGGATGACGTGGCGAGGAGGCTGAATCACGGAGATCTGAGAGCCAAAATCGAGGCGGCGAGGGATATCAGGAGGCTGGTCAGGAAGTCCTCCAACCCCAATTCCAAGTCCGCCGTGCGCTGCCACTTCGCCGCCGCCGGAGTTATTGAACCGCTCGTTTCGATGCTCCACAGTCCCTTCCCTCTCGCAGCTCGCGAGACTGCTCTCCTCGCGCTCCTCAATCTAGCTGCTCGCAATCAGAGGTTTCTCTCTCTCTCTAGAATTTGTTTTAATTATACGAATTAATTAGTGAAATTAGGTTTTAGATGAAGCAGTGTATGGATTGGTAATTTGATTCCTCATCATAATTCTGATTACAAATTGAAAAGCAAGATATGATTATTACCAATAACAAATGAATTTCCTCACTGTTTCGTATATAGTTTTGATTGGGGCTGGAAAAATAGGAACTGGATGAGTTTTCTGTTGATTTTTCTTAAATGTTTTTTGTGTGCAAAATTGCAAGTTGATCCTAAAATTTGATCTTTTGGCACTCTATTATTTCACTGTTGAATCAGAAACAAGATCAGAATAGTCACAGCTGGTTCAATTCCACCTCTAATGGAGCTACTCAAACACCAAAACAGCCATCTTCGAGAATTAGCAGCCGCCGCAATTCTGTCACTGTCATCAGCCGAATCCAATAAATCAACCCTAGCTTCTTCATGTGCACCGAATCTGCTGTCACAGGTCCTCTGCTCCGGCAGTGTTCAAGCAAGAGTCGATGCAGTCACATCCCTGTACAATCTCTCCACATCCGAACACGAACCAAAGCTTGTACTCGATGCTAAAGCAGTAGTACCTCCTCTAATCAGCCTCCTAAAAGAATGCAAGAAGTACTCCAAATTTGCCGAGAAAACCACTTTCCTACTCGAGATCCTCTCCGGTTCCGAACAAGGCAGGGGTGCAATTACGAATGTGGATGGCGGGATTTTGGCTCTAGTCGAAACTGTAGAGGATGGATCTTCGATAAGCATGTTCCATGCAGTTGGTGCTTTGCTTTCGTTATGCCAAAGCTCTCGTGATAAATACAGGGAACTTATTCTCAGAGAAGGTGCTATACCGGGGCTTTTACGTTTAACTGCAGAGGGTACTTCTTCGGCTCGTGATAAAGCTCGAACGCTCTTAGATTTGCTTAGGGACTCCCCTAAAGAAAAGGTATTGACTTCTTCGGAATTGGAGAGAATTGTTTATGACTTTGCTGCACAAATTGATGGGACAGATAAGGCTGTGGAAACTGCAAAGAGATTATTACAAGACATGGTTCAAAAGAGTGTGGAGCTTAATACAAGCCGTGCGAAGAATAGAGCTTCACCTCGTACTGCAACAATAGTTTAGTCCACGTGAAAAAACTCGGAATGTTTTCGAGAGGGGCGCAGTACAGAGTTCTTCAAAACGTGAGTTGACCTTTCTCACAACTGTACATTGTTTTTTAACCTTGAGAAGTGAATTTTGGTTACTTGTATATTTTTCGTTTGGTGTCATAGTAATTTTAGAATTAGACTGTGATTAGTTTTATTACACTAGTAGTGGATCATGCAAGTCGGAAAGAAATGTCGTGTTCTTGATATTGCTGACAAATTTTGCATTGGAATTTTTTTTGTCTCGTTTATTTGTCGCTTGCTTCTAATTTATTTTGCGAATGGAGCGTTGCATTCCTCTGTTCAACATGGTTTCAAAACTTCAAGTATGAAAACACAAATAATAGCCCGCGTCAGAAATTTATCACTCTATACAAACCATAACAAATTCGGAAATGCCAATGTAACAACTTCTGTACAATAGTTAACATTTGATCCCGGATAAATAATGATTATAGCCTAAAGTAAAATCGAAATAAAATTACAAATGAAGGGAAAGAGAGCGAAAACAAAAGTAGTAAGCAAGCATTAGAAGATGACATGAAAACCAAAAAAAAAAAAAAATCTATTGATTATTAAAAAAAATGTAAGAAGCCTAGATCTTGAAGGTGAAGAAGCACTCGAGGATTTTAGTATTTGGTCATTCTTAACTAGGAGATGATCTTCCGTTTCTGTCATCCGGTTGAGATGCTGCACCTGAGAACATCCCCATCATAGACCGAAATGCGCCAGATAACTCCTCTGGTATATTCCCTGGCATATTCCCACCAAAACTGATACCTGGCTCGTTAATTTCACTCTCTTCGTGGGTCCCGTTTTGTCCCCCAGTCATATTAATCACCATGTTAGTAATACCGCTGATGTTGAATGGCATAGATGCAAACGGAGGTGGTGGTGCTGCTGCAGAATTACTTCTTGGTTCGCCTCCACGACTGGTGGAAGTTGAACTCTTGAAAGGGAAAAAAAATTGCATTGCCAAATCAAATGTTGCTACAAAGATAATTATTTAGAATATGTGTGACAATCGAAGAAGGTAAAAATTCACTTCATTGATGCCCGTATTTATCTCACTCTATTTGGGAACAGAATAAGTACCTGACCAGATCCTGCCCTTTGTTGCTCTTCTTTCAGTTTCTGTTCGGCGACCTAGAATCAAAATTTCACTGATTACAATAAACAACAACTGATACAAATCTATTTAGTTATCAATAAGATTTCTCAGCTAACCCGGATATTTTCTTTAACTGAATCATTGTTAGGATCCAGCTGCAAGGCTGCGAAAAAATATGAAAGTTATATTAGAAATCATATTTTCTTCACACACTTTAACCTTTGCGTGTGTGTTTATATACATCTTCACAAAACTCAACCGAGTAATGTGAAGTAAGATTTTCTCAGTAGTCAGAACGATGAGCAATAACTACGCATCGATAAGATGAATCACAAACCTTTCGTAAATCCTTTATCAATTGCATCTCTGTACTTTCCTTGAGCATAGTAAGCAAATCCCAAGCGACTATAAGCCTTGCTGTAATTTGGGTTTATCTCGATGGATTTGAGACAATCTTGAACTGCTTCAGCGTACCGGTGCATCTGAGTGTATGCAGCCGCCCTGACAAATTTACATACGATCTCAATAACCCTTGATAAAACAAAATATAATAATAAAAAAAAAAAAAAAAAAAAAAAGAATCCCGAACATAGATATCTTGAGTTCTATCTTTATTAAGAACATAATTTGATGCAATGGAGGTTTCAAAAAACAAAATAATATAAAATTATACAACTTAAATTAACATCAACATCTTGCTGACCTGTTGCAATAGTAAACAGCATTGCCTTCACATAGAGCAATAGCAAAATTATACAGCTCAATTGCTTCTTTGTAAAGCTTAGATTGCATGGCCTTGTTACCTATCAAGAAAAGATATAGAACATAACAAACAATTCAACATGAAAAGACCTATCTTTCTGGAAACACAAAACAGTAAATATATAGGAATTTCACAATAATTCGAAAGGGCAGGAAATGAAAGATCCACAACGATCGTGTTAACTTTTTTACACTTGGATAACTTGCAGTCAGTAAAAACATGCATATACAGAAGTATCCTATTCTTACTAATGTGGGAAGCGTAATAAAGTTTCAACGCACAAATTTATGATACCTCAGTCAAGACATTTTCACAAAATATGGTGATCCCTAAAGAATTTATTTAGATAATCTGCGGATAGCTGGAATTGTCCCATCCATGGCTAACAGATGTGATTAGAAGGCAAGAAAAACTCCCAATTGGAGATATATATTACAGGAAAAAGTTACCTTGTGATTTGAAGACCTCTGCGAGGCTTTTCTGATCAAAGGTTTGACATCCTGCTACTTGCATTTCCTATAGGATTGTTGAAAATTCATGAAGATGGAAAGTACAAAAAAGATTTAATGCAAGGAAATAGTACACCAATCAGGGGAATCACCAAATCTTCGATGACTTAATTATCCGGTAGGAAAAAGACAACTTGGTATTAATGAAATATCTAGCGTACATAAAAGAACTAAGTTAATAGTTGATACCCACAGACAAATAAATGAATGAGCACCATCAGTAATCACGGTCAACATAAGATGTAAAATGACACCACACATAAAATTGTTTAGTTTTACCCTGCGAATCATACCTTTACAGCATCATTGAATAGGCGTGTTGCTCTATCAAGCTGGATCTGATCATCGTTCCCATCAGGCATTCTTCTGAAATAGTGGATCTTTTCAAGAGCACCGAAAAAATACCCAAAAAGCTCATCTTTCCCTGCCAATGCAATGTAAAAAACCATCACTTCGCATGAAAGAGAACATTTTTTTACACATAGGGAAATATATTAAGTAATTGTTACTATTAGCCTTCTCAAATATTCCTTACCATCTAAAATTCCCACAATTTTCATGCTACAAAACTCGTGTCCCTTACAGCAGTAATTTCAACGGAGGATATAAAATTGGCTACTTCTGCAGGTCTTAGTCAAGAACTGAGATATTTTGCTCTATACTAGTTAAACTAACTACGTCAAAATATCAAATGGTTGACATGGCTCAAACAGTAACAGTAGCGTGCAAATCCTAAGAAAAGAATAGTATTGCATGGGAAATACTCAATATGAACTACATACGTGACTTATGTTTAAGTAGCGTTATGGGTTAAGTCTTACCATGTGAATGTGGCTCTCTTTTCCTGTCCTGATCCTGATATGAAACATTACAAAAATTAAATTCCGAAAAAGTGCACAAGAACATACAAGGGAACCAACCATCCTGATCTTACACCATGCCCAATCCAAATTAACCGAACAGATAGTATGAAAAGAACGGAATTAAGGGAAGGGATGTAGGAGACACTGAAAATAACATATTGGATCATATGTTGATTCCGAACTATGGCCAAACTTGCATTGTTTCAAATGAAAAGAATTTATCTAACAACGGAAACACACAAAAAAATTATTCCCAACAGGTTGGCATATAAGTCGGAAATATAAAAGGAGCAAGCCTATCTTTCCTCCTTACGAACGAAACGAAAACAAAAAATATCGAGCAAATAAATAATCACAATCCGAGAGAATAACATCACCAAATAAGATTACCTCCAAAACTTCGGCATTTTTTCCAGAAGATGAAGTCGGGGCATCAGAAACTCCCCCATTATCGACAACAGGGCTTGCACGAGACTCCGACGAGGCGCTGAAAATATCAACTAAGGAATCGCAATTCGACTGACTATCAAGTGAAGACTGATCGATCTTAAAAACCTCCACCAAACAATCCCTCGCAACATCAAGCGCCTCAGTATCAACTCCAGCGGAAGGTTCAACTGTGCAAACACGAAATAATAGTTTAATTGACCTCTCGGTGAAAGTGAATTTCAGAACAGAAATCAACTAATAAAGCCAATGGTGTTAGAAATAGGGTTTTACGATGAAAAAGCGAAAGTAGAGATACAGTCAACAGAAATACGTACAACTATATATAATAGAGAAATGATTACCGGAGTTGAGGAACCGGAGGAAGGAACGAGCGATGCGGCGGGAGAGAGGGGAATCGGTTTTCAGGTTCGCCATAGATGAATGGACGCTGACGGTGCTCACCGGGGCCGATGAGTGCTCTGCTGGTGGCAGCAGTTTGACAAATTTGGAGGATGAAATTATTTTATTTTATTTTATTTAATTAATACATATATACTCGTCTGACTATCGGGATGGTTTAACTCGCTTTACTATATTTCTATTTACTGTTTAATCAATCATATACAAATTACAGAAATAAGTTTATTATTCAATTAATTTTCATAAGACTAGGTGCTCATAATTTGGATCCGATTCTCTATGGGTTCGATCAGATTTGGATATGGATCCAGTTTACATTAAATTTAATTATTATTATTAGAAATAAAAAGGACCGAATCAATTGTATGAAACCCAATTAAATTTCAAAGCAAATCTGTCAAAAAAATTAAATTAAAAATTAAATTTGATTTCTCAATTTCAATTCTTAAATTGTTTTAATTCCAACCATAGTCAGTTCTCATACTCTACATCCCTGCCGTCTGCAGGGCTCATTCAACCGTCGTCAACACACCATGCTCTCTCTCTCTCTCTCTCTCTCTCTCTCTCTCTCTCTGTCAACAGTGTGTCTTAGTGAAAACTGTGAAACTGTGTTGGAGTGTGTACATAAAAAGGGTGTTGTGGTGTATGTTTGTGTGTGGTGTGTTTGTAAACAGTGTGTTGAAGTGTGTGTATCTATGTATATGTATATGCATCAAAAGTGTGAATATGGTGTGCGTCAGCATGAATATGTGTAAGTGTGAAAATTGAGTATAATAAATATTAAGTCGCAGAAATAGAGATATTCAACCATATATAAGTTGAGATATTAAACCATATAAGTTGTCGACATATTCACATATCATAAGTTGAGCATTTTGACTGCTCAAAACATTTTGAGGGTAGTTAAGTTTGAACATATCTCCAAACAGCAGTGGCTTGTTTTAATAATTTACAGACAGACTACCTGAAATAACCTTTATATACATCCAATTCCTCCTTTTTGTATCTGGAAAATGGAGAGAGATGAAAAAAAGAATAAGTCCAGTTTCAGTAACAGTCAAAATTAAGTGCATTGAAGATTAAAAAACTCAAACATGACAAAATTATTTATTAATATTATTAGGAGGAGAGATGGGTGAATTGGAAAACAATGACACTTACAACTCCTCATGTATCAATGACTTCAGATGTCAATGACCCAATAGCAGCATCTTCACATCTCTTGCTTCTTTTCACTGCAACCAAACATTGAATGAATGTTTAGAGGACAAGAACTCCACTCATTTTGAAATTTCGCAACAAACTGTGTTCTTAACACTTGCAAACCTTATATATTAGGAGAGACGAAAATTACATTTCGACATTCTAAAAAGCTATCACTAATAAACATATTATACAAGACAGAACAGAATAATCTAGTGTGAATCAGATTAAGCATAGAAATATAATTTTACCAGCCTGAGAAGAAGCCTTTCTGACGCTTTTATTTCTTTTTCTTGGCAAGTTCTCCTGTATCGAATCAAATCCTTGTGCATCAAGAAGCTTATCTTCATCGTTAGCAGAAGACCCGCCGCCGTAATCACTGCAAAAATTCCATATTAAATGTCCGACCACAGCAAAACTGGATAGAGATGGAAAAATTACTAAATGAGGTCAAAGAAGGTACTCTACACATCCCCAATTCTTGCGCATTAAATTTCAGTGATATTCACGAGCTCAATATAAAGTAGACAATAATATGTTAAAACTAATTTACTTGTTCTTTATTTCTCATTCCATAAATAGCAAAATAAAAGGGAGGATGATGAGTCTGTTCAAGGCAATAATTACATATTTTCCTTCGTATCTTTTATTCCCCTCTGGATGTAAGTTATCCAGTTCAGGAGGAATTTATGATTTAAAACAAAATGATGGGGAAATGGTACGTCATGAAGAATAAAATTAACTGAAATAGAAAATGAAAGAATACGAAATCACATTATCATGCAAGAAAGTTTCAAGAGTTACAAGGCCTTACCAACGTTGTGCTTGGAGATCATCCAAATCCTGTGACATTTAGTTCTTGTTAAGCAAACTCATTATAACCAAAAAGTAAAGAACTTCAAAATTCACAAAAGCATGCAAAAGTGGCTCTCTGTAGAAACAATGTGACGTCAATTATAAAACATGGGAGAATAGTCTCTTCAAAAGATGCTAGTGATTCAAATGAAGTGTGAAACCCCCACTATACATAAAAATCATAAAAGCAATACTACAATAATGAGGAAGTAAGAGCAGTATTTGTTTTGTGCATTGCTATATCATGACTGTTAGATGAAAAGGGTAACAAATCAAATTATAGAATCCCCGATGTGTCGGTAGAGATGTGTGCTCGCCTCCATAATTCGGTGGTAGAGCTTCATAAGTAACATACATTATCATTTTCCCAACATTGAAAATATGGTTTACATAGAGTTCATTTACACTCGTTCTACTTTTTTTTTTTTTTTTTTTTTGCTGCTACAATACCGAGGCACCTAGAATGATCGTCTTCTTTCAGGTAAGCAGAGATACTTGCACTATGAATAACTAGAAGGACCTAATAACAAATTAAATTGAGAATCAAAATATCCCTATCCTGCATGCTAAGCGAGAAGACCTACATTTGGGGCATTCATAATCCAAGTCAATAGCTTTGATCATAAAAAAGGGAAAATAAAACAAATAAATATATTTTCAGATAGAACTGCGAATACCTAAAATGACAATATCATAGTTAATGATTACCGTCATCCCTACTACCATGATAATTTGACATCAAAGCTAAGTAAAGATGAATCGGACTAATATTGGTTCAGAAGGAACAATTCAAGATTTTAAAATCCTATCATTCTATTTCATTTAGGAGGAAATAATTACTCACAGTTTCACACATCTCACTGTCCAAGCTTAGGATATCAACCTCCTCAGTCTCGTGGATAACCTGGAAAATGGCATTTAGATGACAGGAATTAATTTTTAGATAGGGATTAATACAGTTAAATATGCTTGCCAACTAATGTTTCATCATTGCCATTGAGATTATGTATAATCTACAACAAATAAAATTCATTAGAGGAAGAACAATAACAGAGAACAAACGAAATTTAAAAACATTTTCATCATGAACCTACAATCATCTTGGAGGTAAAGTAACTCACTTGGTCGCCAGCTCTTGACGATTTGGATGGTTCAGTACAATTTGTGCCGGATTCATTAACTGTATCTTCTTCCCTCGAACAACTTACGGTGACATTCTTTTGAGACAATGAAGGTTTTGTTGTTGCAGAGTTGCAAGGGAATGTGGGCTTAGATCTCAAATTTCTACAAGGATCTCTTTCATGCTTATTTTCAGCAGAAAACGTGTTATGTCGTCCTCTAGTCTCAAAGTCGCAATTGGAAGCCTCAACAACCTGGTCTTTATTTTTGTTCATAAGGAAATCATCTGGATTACTGGATTTAGAACTTGACCTGTTGTTTCTAGAGCCACTTGGTTGTATATTAGTGCGAGTGCTGCCATTCTAAAAAATGAAAACGGTTAACAGTAATATTCAGAATATGATGATAAATGAACATCCGGAAATTAGTAAGTTTATACGCACCACAGAAACCTCAGTTTTGAGCCAAGATATCATTTTTTTAGTAAACTTCACATCTGCTCTACTACCAATCAGAGGGTAAGCATTAGCCTGTTAAGAAAATAACAGATCATCATAATGGCAAAAGAGAGAGGAGAACAGATTTCTACCTGCAGCAAGGAAAATATCAGCTCGAGAACTTGCCTCTCTCATTTTGGAAGGACCAATTTTATAGAGTGACGATGGAAGCAGAATTAATCCAGGAGCGTGTGGGAAACCCGTATTATTGGTATTCAGAGAATTTAAGATGCAAATTCCCACTTCTGCTAAAAGATGCAGCTTCTGCAGGGCAGCAAACATGAAAGGAAAAAAAAAATTAAGAGTTGGCATGCGAACAAAACTGTGCCATTAGTGTCTATAAGAGTGCCTGTTTTGTGAAATGCTGAGCAAAATACATTAATTAAACAATGCTGAGTACTTACAGGAGTCATCTGATCATCAATAGCATCCTCCGCCTTCTTGATTGCACTAAAAATACTTCGCAAGTACAATGAAGCATTAGAGTTAAGAGTCACGTCGCTTTGAACTAAATGTTCATTCACTAATGCCTGCACAGTGACGAAGAGTGGACTGCCCAAAGAAAGATTATAGGAAATTAGGAAGTAAGAAATATAAGAACTTTCGGATAATATTTAATCATTACAACTAAGCCTAATTGTCCATCAAATACGAAAGATGACTAAACCACCAAGAGAGAAGCAAACACTACCTCAAAAACTGAGCATATGTCTTTTCATCTCGACAGTCGGGGGCAGGGAAATTAGGGTCATGTGCAAGAACATGGATCAAAAACACAACTAGGTATAGAGGGTGATTAGCTGCTCCTTGCATTGTTGTGATTTCCTGTATTTGAACTCCTTTACTATATTCCCGAACAAATTCTTCCAAATATTTTAACGCCTGAAAATATTGTACCACAAAAGCCACATATATAGTCCAGTAGGAAACTCAAAATAAACAAAATGACAAAACTTCAAACAACATGAACTCACATCGCTGCGCAAATCTTCGAGAGGGTCTAAAGCAACAAATGAGAAGGCACATGCATATCTACCAGGCACAGCATGATTTTTTAACAACTTGTTTATTTTTTGAGCAAATGATCTGCGTATGTCAGGAGAATTTTCCTGGAAGCAGTTAAAGATACCCAAAGTTGGTTACTGAAACATCACTGGTTTTAAGAACCTACTATGAGTATACATGAAATAAGAAAATAGATTATAATGGATATCCAGTGCAAGGTTTTTCAGGAATTCAAACAAATAACCTACTACTCCTGGAAAAGCCCGCATAGGCACAGTGTGAACAACATCTTTCTTCTGTTTTTTTTTTTGACAAGACAGTATGAACAACACTACAGGTAAAATAATGGGTTTGTATTTTCAATTTTGGTAAAACACAATAGGTTGTCCCTGCACTTTGTTGGATTGTTCATCAGCTGCAAATATGAACTCTACCCAAATACCAGAGAAATTCAGAAAAACGGGCACCTAGGACCAGGACTTCTGATATAAGCTTGGAGTAACTATTTCCTGCAGATCCAGTACGACTCTATGAACGCAAACAAGAACATTAAAGGAAATATTCTTTAGACTACAGTCTCTAAAGAGTCCACCATAGAGTCTTGAGTTTAAGAACAAGTTTACCTTAGGTAAACAGAAGAGTTTGAAAAGGGACGGGGAAAAAAGAAACTGAAGAACGTGAAATAGATAAAAAGAACTGATGGGAGTGTCAGTTAGGTAGCCATTAGTGAATTAACATCTAAAAATCAAGGTAAAATAAGATTTAGTCGCTTTTGTTTTTCCAAGAAGTTAGAGTGAGAGTTCTTAGTATGAATTGGAGTACTGAACTAAATGGGAACTGTATTTGTAAATTGAAAGATAAAACATATGTTGCCTTCAACCAGAAAGAGAGGCGAAAACTATCCTAACACCTAATATGAGTAAGAACAATAACCCTTTCCTTTATATATCCAGCCATTTTTTACATTTAGGCTATTTGATTAACATTGTGGCAGCAAAGGAGTCTTCTTAATCCAATATCATCACCTGGGCAATAATATTAAGTGGGATATGTGTTGACCTCAAAGGTGTACTAACCTTAGCCACTAATATTGTTAACCGAAATATCTCTGGCGAAATATGCAAATCCCATTTCCTCGAAAGCCGAAGGACAGACCTGGCAGCAGCTAATCGGATGAAGGCATCATCGTTTTCGCTGAAAACCAAAAAAAAGGTAATGCTTCATTCAAAACACAAAGATAATGCAGATGGAAAGACAATTGCTGTTAGATGAGCTTATTAGTAGTTTCTACCTGGAAGGATCCCATTCTAAGACTTGGAAGTTATGAAATTTTACAAAAGACAAAAAAAATGCAAGGTACAACTCATTAGCTACTTTGAATATCCTCACCATGTGATGCTGCCAGCAGACAATGCACACTGTTGTAGCATCTGCAGAATAACACCCAGCAAAGAACTGATTGGTCGATTAAGAGATGTGTGTTTATGTGGCAAAAAGCTCCTGACAAGTGCTTTTAGCCCAAAAATCTGTAGAACATTTAGCGAACTAACTGAGATATTCAATTTGCCTATAAACAGAACAGAGGGAAAAAGACATAATAATGATCTGATAGTAGAAAAAACACAAAATTCACTTAAATAATCTGATAGATAAGGTGCCATTGTTAAGCTTTGATAAAGCTATAGCATATAGCGTCAGAACACTGACTCTCGCAATTAGAAACCATAGCCCGTGAACATCAACTATCGTGTGTGCAGAACTATAGCCCCACAACAATGCAAGCTTAAGGTCTTGCTTCCTATTCTAATACACACGAAAGAATGGATAGAGTTGATCAACTAGCTTAAGTATTTTGTACTTCACTCGGAACTCTAAAGAAACATGCTTACCTTTAATTTACAAGAACTGCAACAATTTGAAGCCTCATCAAAAATATCAAGATCCTTTGAAGCAGGTACCTAATCACAGAGAGAACCCGAAGTAAAATAGTCAACAGGATTCCTCTCTTCAAGGTCAGGGATAAAGGAGAGAAAAGAATGATAAATATAGTAGAAAATTACATCATTTTGTTGAAATATTTCCTCAAAAATATAATGTGCAATCACTTTTTCTTGGGCTTCAAATGTTGAAACAGAATGTTGTGCCATGCAGCCTAAGGACTGCAACACTGTAGGAACATTCTCTCCATTGCATAGAGAATCCACTAGCGTCTGGTTACAAACAGGAAAACAAAGATGAACATTCAGTTCAATGATAAGAGGAGGCTCAAGCTTCATAAAGAATATCTGACTTGAGAACCGCATAAGATAACTAAATACAAGTATCAAATGTTAAGCTACGGTTAGTAATAACTTTATGTCGCCCTTCTACATCTTCAAGTGCTGTTCTTTCAATCCACTCATTTTGCACTTAATTGTCATTTGCTAACAAAATCATATAAATACTCGAGCAACTTGCAAGTGAAGCAAATCATAATACCACTTAACCAAGATAATATGATGTTAGTGAACAAGTTATTGACCAAGATAATAACATTGACGAAAACTAGGAAGTCTTCAATTGCATAGCCAAAGGAAGAAAAAAAATACAAGAAAAACCTAAACCTACAAAATGATAACAAATTGTAAATTACGCTTTTTCAATTGTATGTAAACCATTACATTGAATAATGTAGAGCTACCAAATATTATGAAAGTGATAAGTAACACTTATCAGCTGGAGAGAAGGAATAGATAATTGACCTTGCAGAGTTTCGAGTATATGTGCTGCTCTGATGAACTAGCTAATGTAGCAATTGCAGAGACAGCAAGTTTAGCTTGCCTACGAGTTCCTTCTAAACATATTTCCTCCAAGGAAGAGTATATATCACTGCATTTACAAAGATCATAAAATTACCTTAACTAATTGCAGTAAGGGGCAGCATGCATAAAATGAAAAACAAAAATCCTTTGCATGAATTTTTTTTATAATAACATGTTGATATACATTAATTCTCTTCAAAATCCATGCTCCAAAAACAAGTGTTTAAAGCAGCAAATTGACTTAAACGACTTACCTGAGTTTAATAGATAGATGATATCCCTCTTTAGCTAACATCTCAACCAGTTGGTCATTAAAAAAAATCTCTCTTTCAAGTAACAGAAGCTGGAACTGCTTCTCTGAACCTCTAAGCAGTGAGGGGAATGCACTGATAATGGTCTAGGTAAGAAATCAAAGAACATGAGCTTTGTGAATGAAAAGGAAAATCTAGAGAGGTGAAGGAGATATGCCTTGATAACGTCGGCAGAACACTAGTAAAGTGCAAATCAAGAATGAGAAGAATGTCTTACCAAAAGAAGCTGCACCTGATAATTCTTTAGGTGCTTTTTTTCAGCTTTATCACCAGAAAGACAATTTAAAATATAGTTGACAGGCTCGGAGCCAAAAATATTGAGAGAGCACTTTTTGGAAAGTAGAAGCAAGAACTCTGAAAGTGCTTTCCGGTCCCCCAGTTCTCTGAAGTATACGCCCTTGAAAAAGGATTTTAAAGCAAATTAGATATTTTTAAGTTGTTCCAAAAAGAGAAAAAGAAAAAGATAGAGCACATGATTTCAAATAATGTATTTTCTTATACAATGTTTTAACGATGCAGCAGCTAAAGTAACAGTTCCCCGAGGAGTCAAAGATGAGACAAACCAAATTATTCGTTTGCCTAGATAAACTGAAAGAGATGTGATGATATCCACAATATCAAAGCAGATACTATTAGCAAGTTGTTATAAGTTATATGCGAACTACAATAGTTATTGACTTGTGTACTATGTTTGAAGAACAAGCAAATAATGGCCCTCGACATCCTGTACTGATTGATGATAGCAGTAGTAGTGAGTCTATAGTTACCAAATCATAACTTCGGAAAAACATAGGAAACATTTATGCGTGCACAATAACACACACAGATACAACAGAAAAAGGGAGATGGGAGTTTATACGATGCTACATTCTAAGAATTTAGGGAAGATGACATAGCAACATTTACATAATTCAGATAGGTCTTGAATACCTTTGTGGCCTCAGAATCAAGTATAGTCCCTTTTCTTAACATCTGCTGTAAGACACTATGTACTCCATTATCTTTCAGTTCTTTAAGTTTCTGAAAACAATCTTTGGCTTTGGCAGGATCAGGAAAGCATGAAGCCATTTTTGCAACCAATGCCTCCATCTTCCTTTCTGCTTCTACACAACAGCTATCCTGCAAGACAATAAACAAGTACAAATGTTTGATGTTTCAAATGAGAACACCTATTAATAGTCCTATGCAAGCATCTTATAACTGACAATAATCAACAACAGCGGACTCACTGCATGAACAAAAATAAACCAAGAGATCGGATTTTCCTGCCTGTTAAGGGAGTATATAGAGTAACTATACAAAATACCTCCAAAATTTCCATCAGGCGCTCTAAAACAATTACTGAGAATATGTCAATGACATCATAAGTGGCAGAAATAAAGCCAAAAAAAAGACAACGATAACCCCGAGCACCTTGAATCATGAAGATTTCAAGCCACAAAAGGGACACCACAGCCAATTTTCTTCCTGTTCTCCGACCCCCGGACAGATAAAGATCCACATCACCACACAATCAGCATAAATGTGGTGAAACAGAAAGAAAATGATGGTTCTACTATCATTGCCAGTATAAACTCTAAATCCACCTTAAATGTAACTCAAAACTCCAAATTGTTAAAGAAGTCAGTGATATTGTATCATTTTGTCAGAACAGGTTTCCCCTAGGGCTATAATTATTCAATCTCCGATTGCATGTTAACAATATAGCAGTATAGGAGTAGGTTGATGGGGGAACGCGAGGCTACAGCCTACATCAATGAGGATAATATTGGTGGAAACTCCAGAGAACATAACTTGTTGGAACAGGTTATGCATGACCTACATTGAGTGGACAAATATGACCAAACCTCAGCCTGAGGCCCTGAATATTTGGGCTGGGGAATACATTTTAGATATTTTCACTGATAATTCTCTATTTGAATTTTGAAGAGCTGCAGAGGATTTTTCTACACATGACAAATCTAGTGAGGCCAATAGCTTCAATCAGTAAAGCCTAGCTGTTTCCCTTTGGAAAAAATAGAAGCAAATCCAGGAAAGAAGTACAGGAAAATCACTGCTGCTGAAATTTATGCTAATTGCTATACCTCGGATATACTCCAGAGATCCAAGTAATCATTAAGCCCATCTCGTAGCCTGAAAGAAAAATTGAACAGTTTTAAAATGAATGGTTAATAACTTGAAATAAAGCAAATCAGCAGATTGATAAGACACCTTCGTTTTATCGATAGAATTGTTCTCAGTGCCTTCAGATGAGGTGGCTTGAAGAGTGAAAACATAAATATCCAATGACTTATTTTTTCCTCTATTGAAAGAGAAAAAGGGAACAAATCAGCTAGCACAAGATCCAGGCTTTGAGGCCTGGAAGTCAAGCAAAACCATAGTATCACATTTCCATGGAAAGGTTTAAATTGATTAGCTTATCTTGATATGTATAGCATACCTGAACTCCTGACAGTCTTTCTCATAACAAAGCATCAATACCTCGCAAGGAATCTCTTCAATATGTTCATTGAGCAAAGTGTTTCCCTCTGTACGCCGCAACGTGTTCCGCTCTGCACGCCTTGTGCAATATTCCTGGTATAGCTCTATCAACTTTTCCAAAGCTTTACGTCTGACTAAAACCTAGATATATGAAGTGAAATTTCATAGGTCATAAGGATAAAAATAAAATCAAAGAGATGAATACCCTTGAAGAAAGTTAACCTTCTTATCACGAAGTCTTTTGGCAGCTTGAGTTATTAAATCTGAGGATGTTAGGTTTAAGTTAATCTTAGATAGTTCACACACCACATTGATTGCTCCAATCCTCACTTTATCATCATTATCTAATAGTCGATCCTGAATGGCAGCTGCTCACCTCACAGATCACACAAATAAATCAAAAATCAGAGTTCGAAAAAGTTAAGCTGAAATATATTTGATGCAGCAATATAACTGCCATTCTGACAGCTTACAGAGAGTTTTAAGTGATTCTTTCCCCGACGGATTAGTCATGTAGAGAGTTTTAGCGCATGAAAGAGCAGCAAGTCTCACTTCAGCTGACTTGTCAGAGAATCTATTCAGCAACTCGATGAAGAGATTGGGATATTCCAGTACAAGATGCGGCCCAGATGCTATGAGCTTTCTAATTAAGTTAAGAGCTTTTATTCGGACATCAACTTGATCAGTCTGCAATTTGCATTTAACTTTTCACGCACCACGTGTAGCCAAAATAGAAATAACTACAAGATAATAGAAATGAAATACAAAAAATGGCTATGAACTGAAGAATGACAATAAGAACAGAATGTAAAAGGCAAAATGCCACTCCAAGACTCGTTTTCGAGCTTGCAATCATGAAAAAGTGGGACGAAGTTCGTAAATTATGAAATTCATCTAGTTAACAAGAATACAGCATTTTTATGACAGAATGAGCACTTAGGAGATTACATACCAATAATTCATGGGTCAGACAAGGTATGACAGAAAGAAGCAACTGAGGAGCAATTCTGTATATTTCAACTATAATCTCATGATAAGATTCTTTAATGACACTGTCAACAGCATCTCTATTCAATATGCATGAAGTCAAGAACTGGGATATACTGTGCTCCATCTTTTCACCAAAATGTTTTATGACAGATTCTGCGAGTCGGAAAGAATCAGGTGCTGCATCCTGAAGAGCACAAGAGAAAGAAAAACATAGTATAAATTACTGGAGTATGAGGAAAAAGCAATGTGCAGAGCAGCCATGATATCAATTTGTACTGCAGAAAATTATATGCTCGTCGCGTTTTAAAACCTACCTTCTTCTCCTTGATGATGTTCTGAAAAATCACATCTAAGAGTGACTGACATGTATTCTTTTCACGAGGATCAGAATCTGCTTCTACTTTCTCCTCCAAAATGCTTACTATTATTGATGACATTGAGTTAATCAAACTTTGAGGATGATTTTCCCTACAAGTAAAATAAAGATGGCAACAAAAACTTTTCCAAGTTATTTCATCGTCCTGGAGAGAGTTGAATAATGAGATTCACTAAAACAATATAGGATAATATGATAGAGACGATGAGATAAATTATTGCCCGCTCATAATTTCCAGAAATTTCCAAAAAATGCATGGTGCCCCTCCTATAAATATTTAATTTATAAGATTTGCGTTTCCTTCTTATTTTAATGTCAGGAATCAGATAATTATGGTGAATCGAAGTATGTCAAATAGTTTATATTCAAAGTCAGAAAATAGGCACAATTGGAACATTAAAAAAAAGGTAAAGACAGAGGGAAGAATGGTAGAGGAAAAGCAAACCTCACAACACTGAAGAAGACTTTAAACATTTTGAAAATCAAATCTTCACATCCAGTGTCTAGCATTACCAAATAAAACCGCAGTTTAGCAACTGTCTCCAACATTTTGGCCCTCTCCGAGAAATATGTGTGTTCAGTGTCAACAAGCTCCCCAAACATGCTTAAGAGAAATCTAAAAATGTCCTGTTAAAAAGATAGAATGAACCGAATATGGACAATCCAGTAAGAAGGTTATACGTCATCCGAGAGTATTAATCACCATGCAACAAAAGTATATGCAAAAACGTGAAACAATATTGCATATACCCTGGAAACAGCATCGCTAAAATCAGGATTTGGTGCGAGGACCCTTAAAACTTCGCAGAGACATCTGCCAACAAGATGCCTAACATCTTTATCTTTATGATCAAGTAGGCCATGCATAACCAGAGAATCACTCAGTGGCTTGACTGAAACTTCTAATGATTTTGACTGTTGTAACTTTCCAAAAGCACTAGCGGCTTGCTGCATTAAACATATTACAACTTATTACCACATAGCAAAAAGCTACAGAAACTTACGTAATCTCACATAATTAGCCAAATAAGCAGCCATAGAGTAGAAGTGTTCGATTAAGTACTCTATTAATTGGATTAAAACAGAGTTTAAGGGGAAAATCAAATGAACTGAAGGAATACACACACTAAAAGTGACCTTCTACAATCCTTAATTTAAGATTATTGCATCAGCATGCAGTATACAAGCATCATATGCTTTGTCCGCCTGTGGTAACAATGGCAACCCAAAACCCAGTAGTATATATAATATTACTATATTTATATTCCTAAGTTAGAGTAAAACCAATCTACACAGTTGCCAGCTTCTTACATGTTCGTGCATGTGTCAAAAAAGTACGTTAACATTCAAATTACCACAGTTCAGATCTACAATAGCAGTACCATTTACAACTAAAACCACATGAAAATAAACTTGAAGAGTCCACTCGCAGGGGTTTGTACAAACACTACACGATCATGAGCACAGATAGCAACTGCACGGCACAATAAGCATCTCAAAATAAACACACATGCACTACTTGTGCACAACCAAAAAAAATATAGGTCATGAATACTTATCAATTTTGTAAACCCTTGTTCAATCAATACACCAACGTGTAATGTAAAAAAATCACGAAGATTTGAATCAATAAACCCCAGTAAAGCACAGTAAACAATCTTTTCGATTTTCTTATTTTTTTCTTCAGGTATCTGTGAGTGCGAATTTTTCAGGATTTCAAGGCGCAGGTGTGGCAAAACAAAGAAAACTAAAGTAGAAGAAACAGTGAAGTAAAATCGATAGAACTAACTATCTATACAAACGGTAAAAAACAAGCAAAGAAACAACAAATTGGGGAAAAAAAACTTAGTAAAAAGAAACGGAAAGAAGAAATCAAAACCCAATTACGTATAGTTATTATACTAGCAGTGAATTTATTTCAAGTTCTGTTTACTTTGAGTAATTTGACGATAATGCTTTTATTTGGGCACGTTTTGTAGGCGGCGAGTTGTTTGCCGATTCGCGCAACCACTTTCTCGGGCACCTCCGTCACTGCCTCCGCCATTTTTTCAGTACGCCTTCGGTGTGGTAGTGGTACTGTGTGCACCTTTTCGCTGTGTGTGTGTGTGAGAGAGAGAAGAGAGAGAGAGAGAGAGTACTGAGGGAGGGGTCTGTTTCTGAGAGTGAAGATTCCCGCTTGAGCAATGAATACTAAGGCTCCGTTTGATTGCACTTATTGAGCCGCTTAATGGGCAAATTGCTGATTCGGTAAGCAGCTTAATGATTCAGGGAGTTTGTTGATGATTTCTGAACGAGTCCAAATGGCTCTTAACCATTCAATTCAAAAATTGGTGCTGATCGAATAAGCCCATGATCTGAATGATATTTGGACATATATATCCTTAAAAAAAATACTCATATATTCCAAGCAATCACCCTTGTTTATTCCACTTGGACGGTAAATTTTCTCCTTCAACCAAAAATCTTCAAATTATTTCAAAATTTCAAATCTTCAAACTATTTTGTTACTTGTAGCTATTTTATTTGAGAACGTTACTTTATTTTTTTTATTTGTTCAGCATTTATATTTCAAATTATATTATAATTATGTTAAATACTTGAAATTTAATACACGTGTTTGATGTCCACTAAATTTTTATAGTTTAGTAATTAAGTTAATCATGCAAAATTTTTTTTTTATTAATATATATACATATACGTGGCACATAATTTAATTAACAAAATATTTTAGCATTTCATCAAGGTTACAAAAGTAAAATCACATTATTCAGACATTACAGATCATCAGCTAACAAACGAGCTTAATAGTTTAATATTCAGTACTCAGACACAACTCTTAGCTATTCAGATATATATTCAGCATTCAGCATTCAGTGCTTAATCCTATCAAACACAGCCTAAATGTCAGAGGCGGTTAAATGAAAATTTGAAGGGCATACCCGGAAATTACTTATTTTCTGCTGCAAGGGCGTGTTTGGTACGATAATTATAAAAGGGTATATAGCACTTAAACCCCTGTGGTTACAAGTTTTTGCAGATGACCCCCTTGTGCTTTTATATTCTTTTTCATTTTTGTAGATAACCCCCTTGAAGTTTGACACACGCGGTTAAGTTTGACGGAAAAACTAATAGAAGTTACCCTATAAATCAGGGGGTTAAGTGTTATTTACATGCATTGGGATGCACCAATAGGGCGATTAATTATTCTCTGTATTGGACTGTTGAAGAGGCGTAAATCACATGCTCACGTATAATTCATTAAGTTATAGATCAATTCCATTAACATAATGGTAAAAGCCCGTTAAGATAAAATCAACAAATAATTATAAGGTAAAATGATCCTGTCAGAAATCAACAAAGCCTTTTATAGGAGGCCCAACATCATAAGCCCATGGTCACTGGCCCAAAACGGGCCCGACTGAGAAAAAACTCGAGGCAATGTTTGGAACCGTTTTGGATCTTATTTTGAGGCTTAATTCCACTATGCACCCCTGAAATACAGCTTTTTTGCACTTTGCACCCTTGAAAAATAATTATAGCACTTTGCACCCTCGAAACACAATAAATCATGCATAATGCACCCTGAATGATTTTTTAAAGCTAATGAAGGTAATTTAATATTTTTAGTGGTATTTTTTTGGAGTTAAATGTCAAATCAATTTTTTTTTATTCATCCATCATTTCTAAATTATAAAGTGCAAAAATAAAAACATAGTTAACCAACATATTAAATTATTATTTTTTTCACAAAGAAATATTTACCAAAAAAAAAAGAACAAAAAATATCCTTCAGCTATTTATGTGTCAAAGTATTTGTAAATTATATTTTCTTCCAAATATTTCTACTAAATATTTTCACTAACTACAATATACAAATCCACCAATCGAATAACTTAGTGAATTTTGTTTTTGTTTTTTTGTTTTTTTTAAGAAAATATAGTTTTTTCAGTAATTCTTTGTCATTTTTGTTTTTTCGGATTTCATATGCTCGAAATTATGTTGGGGTGGAAGGAAATAATAATTTAATTTGTTATTTGCATCCTGGAAAAAAAACAATAAAAAAATAAATTACCCTCATTAAGTATTAAATATTCAATTCAAGGTGCATTGTGAATGATTTATTGTGTTTCGAGGGTGCAAAATGCTATTAATTTGTTTCAAGGGTGCAAAGTGCTAAAATGCCATATTTCAGGGGTGCAAAGTGGGATTAAGCCTTATTTTGATTCCAGACACAATCTAACGGTTCTTAAAAGCGTCGTTTTAAATGACGCTTTATTGTATTTATGAAATTAATTATAAAATCACCCCAGTTTTAAAAAAAAAATCCCGAAATATTGTAAAAAAATAAATGCCCCTCACCAAACAACCCCTAAGAACCCGAGGTCGAACTGAATCGGAGCGTGGCGAAATGGAGCGAGTGGTGAGCGCACTGAACCGGGCGGCGAACAGCAACGCCGTGGTCAACACAATTTTGCTCGGCGCATTCGGCGCTCTGGCGGCGAGATCGATGTTTCAGGAGCGAACAATCGAGGCAATGGAGGCGGAGAAGGATTCGCTGCTCAAAACAAACAAAGCTATCAAAAGCACCATTTGGGAATGGAAGCAGAAACTCTACGCAGAGGCGGAAGCCAATCCCCACGAAACCCTAGTCCCCCTCTCCACCCTCAAATCTATCTACGGCGAAGTTGTCACCGACCCCACGCCCCCTGCCCTTTCTGGTAATTTCACTCTCCACCTTGTTTATCTGTTCATGCATTGCTGTGTTGTGAGTTCTGCATTAAGAGTGGTACCTTGTTCGTGACATGAGCATTTTGTGTTGAAACATTGCAAATTAGATTATATTTATATATGCACTTAATTTTGGATTACAATTGCACATTTCAATGTCCACTTGTTTCGGTTTTTTTCGAGCTGTAGAAATTTCATCAATTTTTAGTTTGAAAGCATCTTGTATGTAAACTCAATTTTCTGTATATGACTTGATAGTGATGAAATTTTGTATGATTTATGTTGTTTTTTACGCGCTGGGAACGTAATTGAGTTTTCCTTGCACTTGAATGAACTGGGCTTGGAGTTTTTTGCCTTTCATAGTCGAACCAGAACGCGGTGAACCTATTTTTATTACAAACATTTGATCGTTATACCTTCAACGTAAGTCTAGTGCTTAATATGTGACGTGAAGAGTTCAGTTATGTCATTATAAACCGGTAGTGACAAATTCAACTCTCAAGCTTCTTGTTGCTTGGAGTTGTTGATATTCGATCGTAAGCCGACAAAATCTATGTGTTTCTCCCCAGATCTTGTTACGGATTGTTTGCAACTTTTTCCATGAACTTCGGTATCTAAAACTAGCCATCTAAAAGTTAATGGCAACTCTACTGAATTTGTTTTGGCAGCTGGCACACGACTACACGTTTTTCAGATAATATGTGTTTTGATGGTTTATGCTTTACTTCCGTTTCCACCCGTAAGGTTATTATGTGGTTATCCATGCTAGTGGATTACTTGGTTAACGTGTTATGGTTTAAATACATTTTCATCATTGTGTGTTTTCTTGCTATAATTTATTTACTGGCAAAGAAAAACGTGGGCCACCGTAAGCATTTTCTTTTCAAACATTCATCGCACTTCTTTCTGCATATGCAGCCACAGATGATAAACAAGAAGGAAAATCTCCGGCACCAAAGATCATGATCTAGTAGGTATGTTGTAATCCACAAAAAAACAAGTTTTGTTTTCGACCAAACAAAGATGGCATTGGCTTCCTAAATATGCATAATGCATGCGATCACCCTCTCGTTTTTTGTGAAACAATTTTCGAAACTGGTGTAATGTTACTATTAGAAATTTTATCCAGGGGAATTGATTACTATTTTATCTTGGCTTTCACACTGAACATCCCAAAATTCTGTCACTCGACATAAAGAATAACACTCCAGCAGAATTTATGGCTTATACTCTTATAAGTTATATCTCATTTCAGGGTTTTGAATGTTTCGATTCAATGGGCCGATCAACCAGTCAGTTTCTTATGAATCGGGCTAATGATTTTTATTTTTTTCTATGAACCAAGTCGTCTGGTATATGACCACTTCATTGTTCATTTTTCTCTTAAAGTTGACATTCACTTGTCTGTTTAAATCTATTGTCCATGTGCTTATGTGCATTTATTTATGAGCATATAAAGTATGTGATTCATTAAAGTACTGCAAGTGCTGCTTGTGTACTAAATCGTGCTTTTCGATCGTCACACGTTATTCGCAACTAGGTTCGCAACAAGTCTAAAATACAACAAAATTTTTGCACCTGTGTGGTAATATCATGATAGTGGTTTACTTTGACTCCCAAAAAAGTTTGTAATTTGTTTTTTATTTTTTATTTTTATTTTATTTTTAATGGAAGTGATGATGAATGAATGTATAATTGATTAGCTTCATAAATAGCCTATTGTGTTTTCTATACTTTATGATGGTTTAATTTATAAATAGAAAAATATTAATGTCTTTATTGACCTAGTCCACAATTTAAATGTACGTTGACCTAAATATACTTGGTATTTTACATTGAATTGAACAGGTATTTTGCAGCAAGTATCTGACCAATATTGACCCTTCAAACTGTTTTTTTTTTAAATTAATTAATTAATTTATTATATTTTTTTTAAGGACCCTTCAAACTTTGCTTAGTTCTTCATGGTTTCGATTTCGGTTTCGTTTTAAATCATAATTGGAATTATAGTACTAATTCTAAAAATAAGACGTAACAATTTATTAGATGTAAGAGTTTATCAGTTGTTTAAAATAAATTTAATTAAACAAACCATAAATCATAATTGGAATTAGAGTACTAATTAGAGCCATTAACTTTGCATTCCAACAAGAATAATCACTTGAATTGTGTAATCACTTATTCCTTTTCTATTGAATAGTTACCTATTTTTTGTCCTTAAGCCAAAAACATTATTATTAAGTTTGAAAAAAAAAATATTATAAATTCAATTTTAATTTGATACCATACCACCCCCAATTAGGCGACCTACTAATTAATTATACCACCCAAATTACACCCCTACCAAGACGCATTTCCACCTAAACTGCGTGCACTGTGTGTGTGTGTGTTTTGTGTGTGTGAGAACGTGGCTGTACAAATATAGAGAGAGAGAAGAGAGAGAGAGAGAGGAGAGAGAGAGAGAGAGAGTATTGAACGCATGAAGGCAGTGCGAAATAAAAACTTAGTAACAAAAATCAAAATAAGCAAAATTATGGCTCTTTCCCTTCCGCAGCCGTTACGTCACGACTGAAACTCATATCAGCTCTCTCTCTCTCTATATATTTTTTTTAATTTCAGTTTCACTAAATTCCATCTGGGTTTTTCTTTTTATAGATTGTTTGATCTGTTTTCGTGGATTTTATTACCCAATTTCTGGGTAAAAGATTGAATTTTTATTTAATTGAAAAAATTGATCTGGGGTGGTGAAAAATAAAAAAATGATGGAGGAGAGTAGGTTGTGTCAGTGGAGTGTAATTCGATCTGTATTGGCTATCTTCCAATGGTGGGCTTTCAATGTCACTGTTATCATCATGAACAAATGGATCTTTCAGGTTTTAATTTATATATGTAGTTTTTTTTTTACATGCACTGCTTTTTTCCTCGATTTTAATTCCTTTTCCAGTCAATTTTGTGTTTGGTGTTTTCTTTCCCAGAATTTTGAATATGTTGATATGTAATTTGAAATGGGTGTTTTTTGGAGCTTGTATAGTAATTTTTTTGTTGGAAGCATTGCTTTAGTTTGATTTTAGATTATGTATGTATACATGTTTTTCTGTATAATGATTGTTTTCGAATATTTGAATCGAACTTCTATAATCTTTCTGAAGTAAGCACTGCAGATTATATAATTTTTTTTTTAATTTTTACGTTTCGATGTTGTATAAATGTGAATTGAGAATAAGTGATCCATGGACGATAATTGAGAAGTGATGTCTTTGCTTTACCTTATTAAATGCATTTCGTCGGGGGTGAGAATTCAGCAATTGATATTGATTTCAACTTTCTTCGAGTATTGATGAATTGTATATGGTAATTTCAGTTGGATTGTGATTTATGCGAGGATTGACTATGTAACATTATTTTATGAACTATTGATTACAAAATATTCCCTTTTCTCTTTACAGAAACTGGACTTCAAGTTTCCATTATCAGTGTCGTGTATTCATTTCATTTCTTCGTCGATCGGTGCATACATGGTTATAAAAGTTCTGAAGCTTAAGCCTCTAATTCAAGTTGACTCCGAAGATCGATGGAGGAGAATATTCCCCATGTCGTTTATATTTTGTATAAACATAGTTTTGGGGAATGTGAGCCTGCGGTATATTCCAGTTTCGTTCATGCAAACCATCAAATCTTTCACCCCTGCAACAACAGGTTAGATAGTTTTGATTAAAATTGGGGATAAATATAATGATTCTGATTCTTGCCTTTAAAAATTATTAAAAAACAACTACAATTAAACCTCTATAAATTAATACAGTCGGGACCAGGGAAATTCTATTACTTTAGCGAATTATTAAATTATCGAGTTAACAATTTAACACGTATTCACCTGAGTCGGGACCGGGAGAAACTATTATTTAATCGAGGTTATTATTTTATCGAGGTTCTACTGTAGTTTACTTTTCGTTGGTTTCGAAACAGTTATCTTGCAGTGGCTAATCTGGAAAAAATACTTCGACTGGCGAATTTGGGCTTCTCTGATTCCGATTGTTGGAGGGATTCTTCTCACTTCAGTCACAGAACTCAGTTTCAACATGTTTGGATTTTGTGCTGCTTTATTCGGCTGTGTCGCTACTTCTACTAAAACCATTCTCGCAGAATCTCTGTTGCATGGATACAAATTCGACAGGTAACATTCCCTTTTATTACAACTCATTCTCGAGCCCATTTTTAGTCGTTCTTTAGTAGGTCAAAAAATTTGTTCCAAGAAATGTTTGATAGTGTATTAGCATGCGAATTCTTGATGCTCGTTTTCCATTTTTTGCTTCGGTTTTTGATTGATCTTTCTTATTGTGTCAACTAGTAGTGAATGAGCTAATGTGTGGGTTTTGAGCTGACTGCAGTATAAACACAGTATACTACATGGCACCATTTGCAACGATGATCTTGGCAATACCAGCCTTGCTTCTAGAAGGTTCCGGAGTTTGGGAATGGCTTCACACATGCCCCTCACTTTTCTCATCACTCGTTATAATTTTCGGGTCCGGAGTTTTAGCCTTTTGCCTCAACTTCTCCATCTTTTACGTCATTCACTCCACCACCGCTGTCACCTTCAATGTTGCCGGAAATCTTAAGGTTCGAATTCTCAGTCCCATTTTTATTTTCATCTTGAACTTTTTTGCGTACTATGCAAGGTTTCGATGAAATCTGATATATCTCTCTCTATATATATGTATATATATTATTTTTTCGTTATCTTAGGTTGCAGTTGCTGTTACATGTTCATGGCTGATATTTCGAAACCCGATTTCAATGATGAATGCCGTTGGATGTTCTATTACACTCGTCGGATGTACTTTCTATGGATATGTGAGGCATATGCTTTCGAATCAATCACCCGGTACACCTCGTACGCCTCGTACTCCGAGAGGAAAAAGCGAGCTGATGGGATGAATTAACGAGAAATTAGACGATGAAGTCTGACTAAAGGCGTAATCTTTGCGATTACTGTAGAAAGTAGTTTTTTTTTTCTCTTCATTGAATACCTATCAAGATTTCACCTTTATCAAATATACATGACACCCTTTTCTTCGTTTAACAGATGACGATCGATCATTAACATATTTATTATTGTACGAAGAGGTGAATGTAAGAACTTTTCAGGTTGTTCTAATAGCAATATATATATATATTCGAGTATTTGATGCTTGTACAGATGATTTCAGAAATCTAGTTTGTTCTGAAATTAAAAGGTTAGAGATTATTACAGAGCAACGTAGACGACGATGACGACGAAGGAAATCGAGATACGTACACGCGAATTGAATTATTCTACAGATTATTTAGAAAGAAAAAAAAAACAGGAAAAATTGAATCTTTAAGCCAAGAGCCAGAAATTCTTGTGCCATCTGGTGCTGATAAGGTAACCACTGACACCATTGCTCTGTTTTCGAACTCCGATTGTTAAGCATTCCAAGCAGTTGATGCATTGCTCCACAAATTCCTCTGTGCTGCTCTTCAGACACAAGCTGCACATGTTGATTTGTAAGAATTTGTTTTAGTAAATAAATTTGATTTTTGCAGGTATGAAAAATTTGGAGAAGAAAAATGAAAAAAAGCTGACCAATTGAGAAATGAAGAGGGCTTTTTTTGGCCTAAGACAAGAACAGAAACATCAAGCTTCTTCACTTGGCTTATCACTGTAGCCATTTTTGGTCCTTGGATAACCAGTGCTTCCACTTCAACCTGACCACAACCAACCCAAAATTTAAAAATATATATATAAATAATAATAAATAAATAATCCCATGAACCAAAGAAAAGAATACACTGCTCTAGACTAAGATTCTTGATAAAAGTAAAAAGAATCTTGGACAGAGATGACAAGAAAGTGAAAAGGGCCTGGCTAAAGAAATCACCAAAGGTATGATTTTTTTTTTTTTTTATAATAAAAACTTCAAGAAAAAAAATGGCTAGATCTCTGTTATTACAAACTTTCAAGAACTAAAAATGAAGAATCTTTGTTCATCAACACTATTAATTTCATTAACAATGAAATTGCAAGAAACAAAAATCACCAAACCAACTTCCTCCTAGTACTATGTACTAATAATATTATTATTATTTAAAAAAAAAAAATTAAAAAAAGATTACCTCTGGTTTACAGGCCTTGCAGAGAGAGCCAAGTGAGGTGGCAAGTTGAGGAGAGAGAGAGTTTTCAGAAGAAGAAGAAGAAGAAACAATGTGAAGAAGAGTGAGAATATCACCCTTGTTAGTAACATGAGTTAGAGCCCACATCATTGCGTGTTTACTGTGTGTTTTTTCATCAACTACCACCATTACTCTCTTCTTCTTCATCACAAACATTCCATTTTCACCCCCACCCCCATTGTACATACCCTCCATTTCCTTCAAACTCGCCCCCCACCCCCCACCCCCACCCCCACCCCCACCCCATCTCTTTGATAATGATTTCCATCCTTCTTTGCTACTTAGCTGCCTCAGAAATGAATCTGGACTTGGCATTTTTTTTTCTTGCCCTTCTCAACTTTTGCTTACTTACTACTATTTATCAATGCATGTATGTATGTACTAATGTACTATATTTTCTTCTATGTTGACTGTTTAGTTAGAGACTTAGAGTATATCTTTAATTTTGTCACACACTCTGTGTGTGTGTTTGTGTGTTTTTTTTTCTTGGAAAAAAAATGAGGAAAGATGGGAAGAGGTTATGGGATGATATAAAGATGAAACCTTTTTTAATTGTTTTATCTTCTTTTTTTTTTATTATTATTTAAGTGTTTATCTTTCTTTTTCATTTTTTTTAATTTGGTTAAGTTCACGAGAATCTCAGACTGTACAATTTAATTACATTTTAGCCAAAAATTATGAACATTTAATTCATTGTTGTGAGATGAGATCTAAGGAGGTGGAGTGGTGGACCAACCTTTAATAATTGTTTTTTCTGCATTTACTTGTACTTTAATTATAATTTATTTATTTATTAATTGATTTCTGAAAGGAGTAGGAATTGATGATGATATGAGAGGATTGGAGTTGAGTGTGGCTTTTCTTATCACCATTTTCTATTATTGCTATTTCTTCCTGTTCAATATTATTTACTTCAGCAGGTAAATGCATCTTTCGTGACACTCAAATTTTACAACTGCCCCTAATAATTGAATTCCTCACTTTCTAGTCTAAATAATAATAATTAAAAATTAAATAAATAGCTCCCATCTAAATCATTTGTGCCTAGTACTTCTAGTAAGAAAATCTATAAATACTTTTTAAGGCTAATTACGGCCGACCCCTTGATGTATAATTAAATTACTAAAAAGTCCTTCATTTTGGGTAATTACAATCATCCTTCTCAACTATAAATTTTTGCACGTTCATCTTTGCAGTGTCGAATTTTATGGAATTTTCTCCAGTTTGTAGCTCCACATTTTGAAGCAAGATGATCATACAATGTACTTGGCTTGTAAATATGAAATTGTGATGCATCAGGGACCGCATTTTTGCAAAAACAAAACGAGTATAAACTAGATAACATTCCACATAATCCAGAAGATTGTGTAGAATTTGACACCATAAGAATGGACATATAAGAAAATTCATAATTGAGTGGTAGTTATAATTATCCAAACATGACGATTTTCGTAATTGACCTTATCTTAGAAGTGACGGTGATTTACTAATTTACCCATACTTATCATTGTGTATAGTAGCAAATATCAACCATAAGTTGGCAGCCAACCAGCGAAAAATGAAGATTTGATTTCACTATTTTTTTATCTTTTATTTTTTGTGTGTATTTTAACAATTTCTATTTATTTAAAATTAGTTTTAAAAAACAATTAATTGTTCTAAAAAACCCAAAAGTAGAAATATAGTAATAAATATTCAAGGGGTAGTATTGTAACTTTACTGGGCCTAGAGTACAGAAATTCATGGCTAGTCATGATTCACAAGCCACAACGACAATGAAAATGAAAACTGCATCGATTCCAGAGATGAAAATAATTAATAAATTTAAGAGCGGGAAATGTCAGAAATGGGCCCCACCTCAGTCAATAGTAAAAAAGTCGTACCTTCAAATTATTGCCCTCCCGTTTAATTCGCTGAACTCTGTAGCTGTAGCTCATTCTTCTTAGCTCTCAATACTCTTCCTTTGACCCTTTTGCCCTCCAATTATTTAAAATTCCAAGTGACACGTCATAAACTAATTTAGTAATAAAAAAATGAAATAGGGGCACACCACCAAAATAATATTAAAAATGTTTGTTACATGAAATGCAGATTTCCAGGGTCAAATGTGGAAAATTTTCTTGATAATAGTATTAAATTTGGCTTATTATGTGGAAAATAATCTTTTATTTATTTATTTAAGCCCCACTGGTAATACTCAAACATTAGTCGGTTTCATATTCCTCGGGAATACCCCCATGAATTATAGCATTTTAAAACATATTTTTCCAAACAATCATTGGTCTAAAATTTCAACTTGTTATTGAAAGAGATGAATACAAGTGATTGGGGAATATTGGATTTTGGGCCCAAATTTAGTCAGCCCATCAATTTCTCTTCTGAAGTGGGGCCCAATAAATAAATCAGTTCAACATTACAAAAAGCCCAAGTCTCGGTCCAAATTTTAGAACTCTTTAGATCTTCAATTCAGACCGTTGATTCATAACTTTTGATCCGGTCCGCCTTCGTCTCTCTTGCCCTAATTTCTGATCTTTCTGTCAATCCCCTAATCTCAGCTCCCATAGGTAATCTTTGTAATAGATTAGGTATTATGTTATATGCAAGCCCATTTTTGTATTAGTTCAAGACCTCCAATATAAAAATACTAATTTACCCTTAATGAAATTTAAAATTAAATAAAAAGCAAAAACATTAAAAAATAAAAAAAAATCATTTCCTTTGTGCAAGACCAAATAAAATACACAAATCCAGAAACCCCTCTTCCTTATTTCACGACTTAAAACTCTCCTTCTTCACAAACCCACCAAGAAATCCTACACAGCAAAATTATCAAATACATACCAAACATTCACGATGGAACGAGAAAACAATGATATGGTGGTTTTCGAGGGTGGAGAACACAATGAAATATGTTTTAATAGTTTATTTTTGCTTTTGGGTCGTTTTTTTTTTGTTGGGAAAAAAATTCGACGATACCAAAAATCGGTCTGCAAATACCGTTTTTTGTTACTAAAGTCGGTAACCACATTCCGATTATTTTAATAAAAATCGGTATTTAAAAACCGATTTTTGTAGTAAAAATAGGCATGACAACACCGATTTATTTTTGTATTATCGGTATTGTCATGCCGACTTGTACTACAAAAATCGGTTTTTAAATACCGATTTTATTATCTGTGTTTTTTTAAGACCGTTTTCTCATACTTTCGTGCATCAACCTAGGGATTGATGGAGGATTATTCAAATGAATTATCTAACGAATAAATATTTGAGATACGGAAAGCTCTACTCGATTGGGTTAAATGAGTGGTAAACGCCACCGAATGGTGATAAACATTTTCGTTTCAAATATTTAAAAAATATCAATTAACCAAATATATAATGTATTATTTAACAAAAAAATCAGAAAATATCGGTATTCGAAAACCGATTTTGTACTCAATAATCGACATTAGAACGCCGATTTTGACTTGTAAAGTCGACGTTGTGTCGCCAATTTGGTTAACATTATGACGCCGATTTTCGAGTACAAAATCGGTCTGGATAAACCGATTTGGGAAACCAACGAAAAAAAATAAAAAAAAAAACAATTTCAATCTCAATTTTTTTTCCAAAATCGGCCAAATCATTGCAACCCAACAAGAAATAAGCATAGATTAATGTTCATTCATACATATTTATCAAGAATCGATGTTCGATTAATGTTTTCGAATTTACAAATAAAAATTTAGTAAAAAGGACATCGATGCTCGATTAATGTTTTCGAATTTACAAACAAAAGTTTAGTAAAATGGACTTACTTGTTGGTGGTGGTGCGGTGGGTGGGTCGCTGGTCATCGCCGGTGCGGTGGAAGTCTCGCTGGTTGGCAGTCGTGATATTTCTTTTTTTTTTTTTTTTTTTTTTTTGGTCTTGAACAAATTAAAAATAAGATTTATTTGTATTTGAGTATTATTTGTAGATAAGGATATATTTGTCATCTTTGGTCTTGATGTAATAAAATTAAATTAATTTACGTGCTTGAACTAATAAACTCATTTATGTGGTTTTGAACTAATAAAAAAATGGGCTTGCATATAACCGCCGCCATTATGTTATTCTCTTCTTTCTATCTTCGAGCTCAAGTGGATGCCGAACAAAGACAAATACATTGAGAGCAAGAAATTCAAAATTATTTGAATTCAATTAGTTACCTAATCTTATGCACAAGCAGAATAAGTATCCAATCAAATTCAATGGATGTAGGTCCAATATATACCATTTAAATTAAGGGCGAAAAAAAAAAAGAAAAACCAAATATTTCAATTTTCTTTAAATACTATATCTTTTTAAGACTATTTTCGAGTGTATGATTCGAATAACAAGATACAATTCCTCTAGATTTACAGTTGACATAAATGTGAATTTACACTCTAAAATTGCTACTCGTACCTATTAGTTTATTACTTCCAATCTTTCAGCCCGAGGCATACAAAGATCTGTCACAAGAAGCCATGGTTAATTGACAATATGCATGATGAGTGGTCAAGAATTACTGGTTCCCAATCCTAACTTAAGAGAGAAACCGAATTAGGATTATGAGTTAAATATGTCAACCATGTTAAATTTTCGTTGATTCAGATAATTTATCTGAAACTTCCATCTCTAAGAAGAGGAGCTTTTCGGGTAGCTATTGTATCGACCCAGCAAAGATATTTCTTCTGGTGACATTGACAGCGAACCAGAACTCAGATAATGTCTTGGAAGACGTAATCTGTGGTAAATTACGGGTGTTACTAGAATATCTATAACCGCCAATAAAATCCAACATCACCAATTTCTAAATTGAAGAAAATAAACTTTGCACATACCTTCTTTGCTTTCTTGTGTTGTCAATGCACCCAGATAAACGGGAGGCTTCATATCTTGAAATCTGGCCCAATGTTGAGGCGTACTCATGGAATGCACCGCCCATTGCTGCCGAGTACGATTTTGAAGGGACTATAGACTGAATAATATTGCCAACACACGAGTCTGATTTGCTGCTCAGAAAGAAGAGAGAATAGTTATAACTCAATGATGCGTTATCTTACATTGATGAATAGCTTGTTTTAGTAATTTACTCTCAGGATAGGAAATGGATTAAATCTCGTACCTTGTTAGAAGATTGGAACTTTTGATTGTTTTCATATTGGATCCATCAATCTTTTTTTGATCTTGACAAGCCAGCTTTCCCAATGCAACCGAGCTTGCTGAGAATGATAACATTTCGGAGCCCAAATCCAAGGTGTTGGTGGACCCCACAACTGACCCTAACGAAGCAATTTCCTTAGCGTAGAAGCACATTCCATGCTGAGCAAGAATGGATGACATCTCCAACTGATTATCATAATAACTATAGGAATGCATTCTCTCACTAAGAATTGTTGATGACCCCAAAGAATCCTGTGGGATTAAAAAATTACACTCATACACATATCACAATCATAAATAAGCAGTATCTAAATGGGGGTGGAGTACTTACAGAGACTAGAACTTGGCAGTCTTTGAGCAACAAATCAGCGTCTGAGATTAAATTACTCATTCCATGAGTAAGTTTCAAAGCTTGACAAGCAGTTTTCTCTTCCTCGGTAACGTATTTCCTTATATTATTGCATTGATCGCGTAACTTTTTCCATGTCTCTTTCACAAAGTCATCAGTCACCTGTTCAGCTTCGGATTTGTCGAAGGATTTCAAACTCCTCATGAAATCCACACGACTACACTCATCCAACAGTTGATACCCTCTCGGAACATGTGCCTCGGATTTTGAAAGAGAGTCCCCTACCTCCTCTTCATAGTCACACAATGTATTAGTATCGGAATTGTGTCCTACTGTTTCCTGCTCTTTCCGCAATAAACGAAGAGGTGCGGTGGATTGGGAACCAAAATCAGGTATTGGGTCTTGGATTTGGAGTATAGAATTAGCTCCATCTGCGTTAACAAAATGGCCATATGACACTGTAATAGAATATAAATCTTCTTCATGGATAACCTCTGTCTCAGGTACAAATGACGATTCTGGCACAGATGAGATGTCAGGTGATCGACATGTGTCCTCTATAATAGAACAATCAATTCTTCCCTCGAAATTATAGCGAGCTTCTTCTAACCTGTCTACTTCAGAATGAGAGATTGGCACACTAGGAAGTTGGTCTATTTTGGTAGGTAAAAACTGAGAGATTGGCATTTTTTCCATATTAAATACTTCAGCATTAACATCTCCTCCAGCTGAAACTAGGGGAATACTTCTACACGAGAACTCGTCTTCCGAATCAGAAGATAGAACTGTATTAGTTTTTCTCCGACTACTTTGCCGAGCAAATGCAATTGGGGAGTTAGAAAAATCAAAGAGTTCGATATTGGACTCAAACTGTGCACACTCAACATCATCAAGAAGTGAGCCTTGCAAGCGTAACATAGCCGCTTTTTTCACCTCAATAGAGTCTGGTTCAGCATCCTGCATATGGATATTTGCTGTCGTATAATCATTTAGGTCCTCAACCATATTCGTGTCTATTAAGCCATCGTTTTCTTCTGTTAAAGCCAAAGATTTAACAACCTCCTCTGCCACAAGCTCAGACAGCTGTGAAGGGTAACCCCATTCTATTAATTTTGGTAGGATAGAATGCCCTGCATCAAGATCGAATAGTACTGGCCAATATGTTGGATGCGGTTCATTTCCTGAACAAAGTGCAACAATATCCTTTATGAATAAATAAATATCACAGATGATGAGAGAATTCAAACAAAAGCAGAAGCAAAATGAAAACCAAGCAATTATAAGTACACTCTGCAGGTGTATGATGAAGCAATAAAAGAATTCCAACAGAAAAAGGAAGATATATGTATCCTTTTCTTGAATATATGTCAATCAAGTACACATAAATGAGGATACACAGCTGTGTTTTTGTTTTCTTATGCCGAGTAAGTTTTAAATGGGGAAACAGACTTCTTTTAAATTTTAAAGAAACCTGTGGAAGAGTCCTGCGATCTTGTATATACTAAAATGCTAACAAAGATTGCAAACACGTATCAGACTTCAAAGCAGAGAGAGAACATGAGCCTCAATATTTAGCCTTTTCTTAGGCCTTTTTTCATCCCTTTATTTCTGCCATATATGACATCATTGGCTCGTTACCAACAAGTAACAAGCAGCAACAATTAGAATGATAAATTACCTCTACCGAGAGTTTGACCCTGGAACCAAAACTGGAGAAGCATGATGGTTTTGCGAATGTCTCCTTGACAATAATTAACAAATCTTTCTACCAAGCAAGGATGGATGCTAGCTTTTTCTGCATCACAAATCTAGAAGGGTATTATAATATTGCCTTATAAACAGAGAGCTGAATGATAATCTGATAAAAGATTCACAAACTATTACCATATAGACAAGTCTAAGGAGTTCTTCTACTGACGGGACGGAAAAACATAACTGAAACCTGTCCAAATTCTTAGGGAGGACAGGATTGTCACCTAAGAATTATTTACAGAAGTTAGTCGGCGAGTAAGAATAGTGCTGAGGATCACAAATATAAGCAATAGAACTTCTTACTATTGCTTGTCAATATCATGGGCCTTTTAGCAATCTGCGCCAACTGTTGTATAGTTGTAATAAAACCGTGATCTTCGTAGAGAGTAGCATCCACATCTTCAAACAGTATCAATGTTTTAATCCCATCCTGACAGTTGCCAGTTCTGTTGTACCCAGCAACTGATATTATCGGGCATGAACCAGTATCTTGAGAATCCTCCTTATCTGGAAAGTGTGTTAGATCAATTACTTCACTGTCACAGCAACCCACCTCTTCGTTACCCGTCTTAAAGAACTTTGGTTGCAATTTGCTGTCTGAATTTGTTGCATTTTCTACTGTGCTGCAACAAAAATAGGCATTTGATATATGTTAGTGATAGTCAGAAGTACACATGCCTTCAGCCTGTTGAAGTTTTTAAGTAAATCAAACTGACCAAAAAAAAAAAAATACAATCATATCCTAGATACTTCCATGTGCAATATTCAAACTAGAAGGCCAAACAAATGTATAATGTGCCACACCTTGAAATAAAACAATAAACACTAAAATTTTCATGGCAATATATGGATACTTGTAAAAACTGAATCAAATATACCCTAATTTTCCGAGTTTGTGCAGTAGCTTCTCGAACTCACTAACGTACGAATAGTGCTAGAGTTTCATACATATTATTATTTTTTCTATCCTTTCTTTGAATTGGTTCTCATTTTTTATTATATCGGATGCAATCCTAATTAGTAAAAAAGCTCATTCATTCAGTAGAAAGAAAAATCATGCAATTTCTTTGGTAGACTGGCTTTTAAGTAAAACCAACAGTTAGTTTAGACAAACCGCTGCCAATGAGATTCCACAGCCTCGCCAAATTTTTGCTTTACTAGAGCTCCATTACGCCAATCTGATGAATTTATCTAGAAAACAAGAACAAAAGTCAGATATGTTATATGAATCAGAGCAAGTCTCAACAGCATGTATCCACGCCATCGTTGCACATGGTAGTGGGACAAATTAGAATTAGAACATATGAAGCTAATAATAATTCTTCTAAATAAACCAGAAGATTTTTAATAAACAATAGTAAATGAAAAAATATGGGCATGAGGTTGTATAAGATGAAACTTTAGCTAATTTTTTTCGACTATACAAAATACCTCGATAATCTGAAACCCTTGATCTCTCGCACAAGCATAGATGGAAGCAGATTTCCCACTCTGCAATTACAAACACTTCCAATCACCAACTCTAGACAATAAAACAGAGCATCAAATACTCTTCCTACGCAGATATACTAGATGTTTTGTTAATTTAGAGCCAGAAAGAGAAGATATGCACTATATACCCCAACTGGCCCAGTAACTAAGAGAACATTTTTCAAGCTTTCTTCACCATTGTTGGTATCAGAGTCACTATGCTGATAATCATGATCGACATCTTGCACAATAGAATTATCTTCATCCATGTAACCTCTAGTAGTAAGAGATCCCCTTTTGTGCCAAAGATGAAGCCATTCACTTAAATATTTTACTGATTCAGCATTTCCACATACCTGAAGATAATCAAACAAAGAACTGTATAAACAAAAAGAAAAGCTTAACGATGGAGAAAAGTAAGGAAAATGTTAAGAGCCATGTCCTTAGATTATAAAGAAGCATATAGTATCCCTCCACAATGTCAAAAAGACCAATCTAATCAGACAGCATACCCAGTAATACTCACCTAAATTGGAGGAACCTTCATTTGGCAATTAAAGAAAGATATGAAACTATAGGAATGGTTTGACTGAATTAAAGCAGCAGACATGCATATCAGAACTCAATTTTGAAATATTACTTAGACATCAACCCTAGATCACCCTATTCTCAAAGTATTCCTCAGACACAATATATATCATTAGAGGAACGTTCCTTTGAAAAAAAAAAAATTAATAATTAAGAAAATAATTCAATAAGATGATACTGCAGAAATGATTAACATGCATGTAATAACTCATTTTTGAGGAGTTCTTTAGGTATCAAACCTAAGTATTCCTCATACACTATAGATTTCTAGATAGTATGATATTGGGTAATCAGCATAGAAGAGGGAACTTGTCTAACACCATATGGCAGATATTTCACCTGCTTGGCATTCTGAGGCTGGTAGTTGTCTGTCCATAGGTAATTTACAGGCTGATTCTGACAAGTGTGGTAATGAGACATGATCCTGGATTGCAACAGCATAAATGAAAAAAATTCAGATATTACTTCTGTTATGAAAACCACTGTAACTCTCAAGCGTGAAGAAGCATTTCACCAGGTATTGGGAATTAATATTTGATATAATTTAGGAATAAAAAAATAAAGAGATTCAATTGCAGAAAATGAAAATTGGAAGTTCGAGTGGAACATGTAGGCAATCACTGAAGGAAGAAACTTTTTTTTTGAAAAATCAAGTATGACTGTTCTTACTTGAAGGATGAAAGTTATAACTAAAACTGAAAATCAATTTATGACATATTCAATATCTCAACTAAAAACCAGGAACGGAGTCCAAATTATGTTCAGAACAAAAACATTTTAAAGGTACTTAGACACTGTCCATGAGTAATTATTAATTGTTTTCTCAAAAAAGAGCATCGATGATATAGATGTCAATGAGTCAAATTACTTAATATGCGCATAATATGATTTTACCTTTCCTCAAGAAGCCTGTCCTGGGACTCAGGTTCTAAGCTTCCACAAGGCATTCCATCAACGAAGTCAGATTTTTCCAGTTTATGGTCCTGAGAATGTTGAAGATCAGGACTTCTTGCAATAATTATGCATATGAAAAATGAAATATAGGCACTACGCCTGATTTACGTAATAGCATAGTACATTCCTTTTATTCAATATGACATGCATCTTCTCGAAGAAGTTCAACAAATTGAAAAGGAAACATATTTCTATTAAGACAAGTGCTTCATGAAGGGAGCAAATTCCTGGAATTACAGCCAAATATAGCAACTGACAGTTACCTGCAACATTGATTCAACTGATGCACCAAGTAAACCTTCTGCATCTTTTGGCGGCATATTCGAATTTTCTTGTTGTTCGACACATGTTTCTGTCTTATTATCGAATAGTAAGGGTGAAACAGAATGTGAACACTCCGGAATAATAGGCAGCTTCTCAGAAACATCTTGTTTTGGGACAGAATACTGATGAGAGTTTTGATATAATGGTGTTCTTCTGGCTAAGTGAGAGACACTCGGAAAGTTATCAAAATTTAAGGAGTCGACAGATCCTTCATAAACTGGTGAGCATCCACATTCTAGATCATCATTAGCACTTCTTTCCGAAAAAGGCCATTGTCCCCAATTGAGGGTTGTATGATCACCCTGCAGATGAAGATTTTTCAAAATTTACCAGAACGAATTAAACCCTAATGATTTATTTTCTGTGTGGCAGAAGCTGATGAATAATATGGTATAATGCTAGTTGTTCAAAACAAATGAACTGTGTACCTCAACATTCTCAAAGACGTGAATAGGGTTGAAAGCAATGCCTTTTTCCCTTCTCTCAAAAGAGGTCAATTTAGTTTCTGAATCAGTCAAATCTTGACCTGATTTTCCCCCTTTCCATGATTTGAAAAACGGATGAATTTGTTTTCCAGCAAATATACGTGAATTTTCCTAGCAAAAACAAGGAAAATTCCAAGATCATAATGTGGAATAAGATAAAATATTTTTCTAGGTCAGACTTCAATCCTCAGGGGAGGAAAAAAATTTCAGCTAACATACCTCGGCTGTCAATTTTGCCTCCAATCTAAGATCAGGAATTGTTCGCGATGGTTGCTCATCCAGTGTAAGATCAAATGGGATCTGACCACAACTTGTTTCTCCAGTGCCACGTTTCATTTTTTTGTTGGGTGTTGAATTTCTCTTTTCCTTCCTTGGAGTTGAGTTATTCTGCCGCTTCAACTTTCGAGGAGTACTCCTACCATCTACGGAAATTTCTTTCATTACAATAAATTAAGCTGGAATATTTGTAAAATCATCTAATGCTCCTCTCTAGTATCATTTCAAAGGTAAACAATGGTAATCTTTTCTCAAGGAGATGACACAAGAAACAGGCATAATTGTGAGATAGAGTAGTAGTTATCCTACTGACTAATAAGAATCATTTCAGAGTTTGAAATGTGACAAGAAAATAACATACTTGCAACAGAGCATGGAGTTGAACACATTTCATTATTTTTTTCTGGGGAGTCGATGGATATCAGCTGGTTTTGCTGCCTTTTTTGCTGCTGTCGCTCAGATGCCTTCATAAAAAAATTGCCCTCTGCAAGATAATCAGACCAAATTATTCAATATAAGAACCATGTTTCTATAATATAACACATCAACTAAAAAAGCAGCAGGATTCTCCTTATCCCTCTTTCTGATTGGAATTGGACTTGGAAGGAAGAAAGAATCATCATAACTGCAGCAAGGTATTCACTTACTGGCAGTAATTGGGGATTCATTGTCATCAACTTGCTTGCTTGAAGTCTCTTTGCCGTTTTCTATAACCTTAAAAGTAAAACACACAGACATTAGTACATAAAAAGAATGATCATATAGGTTATGTGTAACATTTTTTCTTGACATTCCTTCTACCTAGCCTTATAAGTTCGTAAAATACAACTAACAGACACAACTGAGTATCAAAGAAGCACTCTTAGGCCAATGCTACAGGCACATCCTACTAATATCAATCTTCTGAATTCTTGAAGCAAGTACGTGAAGTTCCTTTTTAATAAACATTTTTTCACCATGAGGATTCATTCTTATTGGAAATACTAGAGGATGCAGCAGCGGCAGTTACAACTCTTGAGTCACCTTACAACAATCACTTCTGGAGTTAATTAGTAAGTGTTTACAATGAATGAGAAAGCAAAAAAGAAAACCGAAAGGAGAAGTTTAATAGTCGACGCAGATTTAGTACGCATAAGTCTTATTGGAGTATAAACCATACCATCTTACTCAAAATTGATTTCTAAAAGTCAAATAAAGCATGGCTTTTAACTTATTAAAGTGACCATGAAAATCTCTTTTCGTTAGGTACTTCTTGAAGCTAGAATTTATAAGTTAATAAAAGTGACATATCGGAATATATCAAGATGTTTAAGCTCAATCTACTTGGTATATCGATTATCTTTATACATGAATGCAGGTATGCAGGCAGATTGTCCAAGGCATGTAACCCGCACCAATCTGATGGGGCTTAAACATTAAAATAAGGACTTAGACCATAACCATCTCTATCATATTCAGCTCAATCAATTAAACTCGTAATCGTATTATTAGATTAACAAACCAAGCTCATATCCAAATTTAAGCTTGTTAATGGAAATTCGAATCAAGCATGAAGAATGCTTCGATTGATCAAGCTCCATTTATCTAAACCCTAACCTACACAATAAATAATGAATACATACTTTATTCCATGAGCTACATATATGAGTACATGCTTCCTACAAAAATAACAGCTGATTTACAGGTTCATCCTGAATGCAGATGCACTATTTCTCAATTCACAAGCAACAGTCTCAGAATCCACGATGTGATCGAAATTGTGAGTTATCAACTAAAAGCACGAATTACCACACATACCTTCTTCGTAGAAGCTGACGGCGTCGTTTTGGACTTCGAATTACCTTTCCTTTTACTTTTTCCTCGGCTTTTGCTACTGCCACACCACTCCTCTTCTTCCTCCGCCTCATCTTCTCTATCGGCATGGCGATCTCCAACTTCCTTGATCGAACTCTCCTTGTGAGGAAACAGTGTCGATTGAACCAATCGTCGCCTGACATTCTTCCCCTCCATAGCTGAATTAGGGTTTCAATTCAGTTCAATCCCTCTGCGAATTTTGCCGGAAAGAAGGAGAATTGTGATTGGGAAAGGGTTTTGCTGAAATATAATTAGTTGTGCAATTGACAGTGAACGGTAAAAATCGGTTTTTGTTGAGGAATAAATTAGTAAATAATAATTAACGTGAGAGTTTATATATTTTTCAAGGGCGATGGCAGGAAATAAACTATTTATATTTTCTTCGGGATTTAGGTTTGCTTGAAGGTGACCTGTGGAACCGGTAACAGGTTATTTCTTTGTTTGCAATTCTCCCGCGCGGAAATTTCCTTCTCTTTGGGATTCTTTTTGTGTTTCCCGCGTCTTCTCTAATTAATTATTTTAAATTTTTAATTTATTAATAACACGCCAATAATATTATTGTATTGATTGTTTTTTATTAGCTGTTTTGATAATGCGGATTGCTAATTACGGTTCCATATTTACGAATACAATCGTACCAAAACTCATCTTGTTGAAATGATTTACCAAATTACAATCGGATGAGGATCGAGATACACATCACAATGAGATAAAATTATTTATTTTCGTTGTACAAATTTTAAAAGGAGGATTCACGATCAAAACGGGTGCACAATATCTACTTCCACGTACAAACTAGATGCTCGGTGAGATCCACGCCCAAAGTGGGTATGCGGAACACTTTTAAGCACCCAGTTAGGCGTGCGAAATCTTTTTTTTATTTAATTAACTATGTTTTGTTTCATTATTTTCTCATAAAGAGCAATAGAATTCGTCTACATTTGAAATTGATCGTAGTGAATATTTTATAGTAATGCACTTATTTAACTCGAAAGATTAGTTGATAGATTGGGCGATAGTGACCGCTTTGGTGTAAAGTTGGTAAAAAAAAGTAGTTATAAGAATAGACTATATCTAACTTGCGATCTACTTAGGTCGAAGTGAACAACTGCAACTGATATATAATATGAAAAGTCCGAGATGACATGGTACAAAAAATGCTATAGACATATTATTATGATTATAGTGATGAGGGTGGAGACTGAAAAATATATAATAACAGACCGAACGATTGAAAAAAGTATATTATTTTGTACAACAATAAACATCAATTTTGTATCTAAAAGACAAAAATAAATTATAACTAACATATAAATTGGGTTGAATATCAACTTGAAATGTGATTAATTTACATCACCAACTTGGGCCAGGCCTTTTATCTAATTTGCTGATCAAGTCCATTCCTATCTGGATCCGGGTAGTCTCAACCCATATCTAGGTACCCAATTTTATTAGAATTAACATTTTCGAAAATATTTTAAAATTTTTTCAGAAGTGTAAAACAAATTTCATTTTCATCAAAAAAAAAAAAAAAGAAAAAAACAGAAATCAAATTTTCAAAAATTAGATTGAAAAAACATGCTGCAAAATCGAAACCGACAAAAATCAATATTTTTTAATACACCTAAATATGTAATTCTTGGAATTTCGAAAAAAATGAATGAAAAGCCACATTCCAAAATCAAAACCTAAAAAAAAAAATCGATTTTCCAAAAATAAAAAAAATGATTAATTTAAGGGTAAATTACAAACACCCCCCTGAGGTATGGTCAAATTACAAAAACACCCCTCTTGTTTGGATAATTACAACCACCCCCTCAACTCCTCAAATTTAGTGGAATCTTCAAGATTTTATGGAATATTATCAATTTTGTACCCGTTTTATCCCATTCAAACTCTACATTATGAAGCAAGATGATCATAATATGTGATTTTTAGCTTGTATATATCAGTTTCTGGTGCATCGAGAACGGTATTTTTACACAAAACGAGTACAAACTAGAACACATTTCACAGAATCTAGATGATTATGTTGAATTTGGCACCATAAGGGTGAAGGTGTAAGAAAAAATCATAGTTGAGGGGGGTAGATGTAATTATCCAAACAAGAGGGGTTTTTTTGTAATTTGACCATACCTCAGGGAGGTGTTTGTAATTTCCCCTTAATTTAAATCCCACCCATAACTCCAAAAGATGTCCATTCAAAAAAGATGCCCAATGTTTTATACAAGTTACCTATAGACATTTCTTCCCCCAAAAAAAAAAAAAAAAAAAAAAAAAAAAAAAAAAAAAAAGGATCCATTTCTCCATTTTGGTTAGCTACCCAATTAATCATGGGTTATCAAAACAAGTTAAAAGCTCCAGCTTTGCAGATTAAGACCAATTCATCAACTTAACTATCTATTTCCTCTCACTCTCCATCATGCACTACACTTTACAATTTCCCCCATTTTTCGACAAAAAAAAAAAAGAATCGTTCGCAACTGCACTATTCTTCAGCAGATTCTTGTGGCTCCATATTGCAATCGATACTCACATTGGTATTTAAGGAAACACTGTTATCCTTCGATTCATCAAGGTGGTCAGTGCAATCGCCATTGTCTGAACCAGCAACAACTGCATCAATCTCGATAGTTTCCTTATTCAACGAGCCAGCTGGCATTACAGCGTCAGATTCCACGTCAGCATTTTTTTCGTTATTGGAATCAGATGCAGGATTTTCTTGCATATTATTCTGATGCTCGGGTATAACTTCAGTGGGCCCCACAGCTACAATTAATAATTAATTTGCAAGAAATTAATGATAAACGACAGTGGTGATGGAATTTTTTTTTGTTTGAAAAAGAAGGGACCAATGAAATACCTGCAGAATCGATTTTCCGTTCGATACCCATTATAGGTTTCTGTAACATGTTTACGCCTGGGAATACAATCATGCTCATATACTTCATTTCTTGCCTCTCTGATTCTTCAACCGGCACAAAACCAAATACTTTTGTCCATGTTTCGTTGAGTTGCGATATTGCAGGTATTACCAGTTTCTTGACGCCAAGTGAGCGAAGAACCTGAGAAAATATATATTAATTAATTTAGGAAAGAAAAAGGGTATGTGTACGAGAATATCGCGTGACGTCGCCTAGGGTTTCCAAATCAGATACGAGGTCTGGACTTGGCAACATTTAATACAAACACCACATAAAACTAAAAACATACCTAAACGGAGAAAGAAAAAAACATACCGTTTCAACAGCATTTAAGAGCCGGCTGCACATCCCTTGACGACGGTACATAAACCGAGTTCCAATAAAAGGCATCTCCGCTAACTGACTGCCATGAATTCTGTTTTACAAAGGTTTGTGAAGAAGAGTTTCTTAGTGAATAACCACACCACAATTTAAGGGTTTCAAATAGGATCATGTCCTAAAGCTGCCTCACATAAGCGCAAGAGTGCATGCCAAGCAACTGATTGAAGAAAACAATTTAAGGTGCATCATAATTGATATGAAAGTGCAACAGAGAGTATTAATTGTTTTATATAGGTTCCGATTTTTAGTCTCGTCATCCATACATGCATTTGGTAAATGTCTCAAAATTACTTCACTTGGATACAAACATCAGATTAACTCGTTTCAGGAGTCTCGACTAATTGGGGAAAGATGTTAAAAAATAATACAAGTTATCACATCTAAACAAGGTAAGAAAACTCAACAGTATAGACATATATATAGCCGACAAAAAATACGACTAAAGCAAGAGTCTCATTTAGGAGAAGATCTTGCAGCACTTCATTATTTACCAAAATCCCGCGGCACGTGTAGTACTAACAAAATCGTGCAGCACATTTATTAATATTAAGCATTCATCAAGCACTGATTAACAAATCTCAAATCCCAACAAAAAACCACTTCAATAATCTTGATAAGGATAAAACGAGCTCTAAAATAATCCATGTTACAAAAATATCCAGAACAAAAGTCAAGTAAGGTAACCTTATAGATGCTGCAGCAACAAATTCGTCACCCTTCTCAAGGATAATGGTATGGAATCCATCGTAATTCAACCGTCTAATATTCGACCTAGGCAAAAAAAAAAAACGCGAATGGAAGAATGAAAGATCCATTTGATCTTGTGGCGTAAAGCATTAATTCAGGTTGAAACTTGAAAGTTCTTACCCACAGCTGTAGACAACATTGTGAATGATATTGGTTCCACTTCTCTCGTCTATGATTGGTTCAAAGCATTCGTCCATAACAGAGAAAGCAACAGCTAACTTGGAATTGCTTTCTAACTTCGAGGAGTCACCATTACGAGATTCATCGTCACTAATAACACTATGCTGAAGAATGGTATAGGAAAACCCTTCTTGTAGTTCATTTCTAACTCCAAGAAGAGCCGGTAACTGCTCACAAATCTGCAGATTAGAAGTACTAAACGTATCAGCTCAAACTAAATAAAAAGTTAGAAATTTACATATGTACAAATTCGCCCGACTAACAGTATCTATAAGAGAAGGCCCACTTTAAATGAAGAAAGAATATATTTGAAACTCATCAAATCGAATGCATTACCAACAGCAGGACAAACCTCAAATACACTATCAAGATCAAGAGAAGTTCATCAACCTAGAAAGTCAACTAGAAATATATGACGAATAAATGTTTGGTCAGAAAATGTAGGAAGTAGAAAAAGGAATCTATCTTTTTTGTGTACTTGTATATAGTCTTATAGTGAACATGCTACGCAAGGGATACATAATCTGATCCCTTGCTAAAAAGAATTTGTAGAGAGCTTCAATTAAGATTAGGATCAATTGCAGATGATCGATCAGCAGGTTGAAAAGTGAAATCAATTTCACACTGCAACAATAGTTGAAAATCCATACTGTTTTTTTTATTACTTCATGTCGCAAACTCTCTATGCATTACAATTTTATTTCAGGAAAATAAAAATAATATGGATCAATCAAACTAGTCATTTAATTTTTCTCCTCTGGCTAAACAGTCACTCCAAGTTTGCTGAGTTACCTTACCCAAGAAAAAGAGTTGGCTGAGATACTAGAACAGAAAACATAAAGCTTTTCATGCACGAAAAACAAATCAACATGAATATTGATTGGAAGAGGTGTACTGTGATGTAAGGAGTAATATGACAAACAAATATAAATTCTCCGTAAGAAAAGGAAAAAAAAAATATTGCATTTAATAGTAAGCCGAATACCTTTAAGCATTCCTTCCCACAAAAAGATGGAATTTCACCGTCAAAATCTTCAGCACTATCCCCATTAATGCAATGCATGTGGACTGCAAAACGAACAAAAGTTGCAGATAATCAAGGCAACAGTACCTATATGATAAATAAACAAGGAGATCATAAAAATAGGCAATATTACATTTTTCCTCACACAAACGGCATGTGAACAACTCCGATAATATATCATGATCATCATCGGTACTCTCACAGGTCACTCCACAGAATTTGCATGAACAGTATACACAGTGCCAATCTCCAGAAGGAACCTGCAGCAAGAGAAAATAAAAGTACGTGTATCAGTTGAATTCTGAGAACAGTTTACTCTGAGAATCATTTAAAACACGAAAAATAATTAACTATCTAATATTTCATTGTTGAAAAACCAATGAATGATGAAAGCAATAGTACGTTTGGAGAAAATTTCGAGTAATGTAAAAATACATGTGAGCGCTTATGTTACATGAGCATCGAGTACGTCAACCTAGTTTCTTTTTGTAGAATCACAATAAGTAGAGATTAGAAAAAACACGATCTTTAGGGTTATTAAAGTTACTGCACGTGCTAAATCAAGTTCGATTGTCCATGCAGCTATTCATAATGGAACTAGAAATTAATGGCAAACGACAAAAGACGTTGGATAAAAAAATAAAGAAGAGCAAAAAAGGGAGGATAGGGGCATTCATACTTCAATATGTAAACAGCCATTATGGAAAGTTGACGGACAACTGTCACAGCAGATCAAGTCACCACCATCACCGCAGAGATTGCACGTGTCATCATTCGGATCATCGCCTTCCACATCCACGGTAACAAAATTAATGTTATCAGTTTCCACGTGTTTTTTCCACGACTCCACTAAGCACCGACGAAGAGAGTTCCCAGAATCGAGATATATATTCTCGAACAATTTTCCAACTTTACTTTCAGCATGAGCCTCAAAGTCCGAAACCCTATGTGTAACATTACAACAATCACAACAGATTCCATCCTTCATAATCCTCCCTTCAATCAATATCTTTTTACCCCTTCCTCTCTTGTACTTCACCTTACCGCCAAGTGGAACAGTTCCCAAATCAATCATCCACGACAGTAAAGACCGTTTTTCTTCGTACAACTCATTATTGTTACTATCAGGGCCCTCCCTAGGTTTACGAGCCAATAAACTTCGTTGGTTTCGCGGATTCAGTTTCGATTTAATTTCTCCACCTAATGGTTTGGTTTTAGACGACACCCTTTTCACTCTTTTGACTGTCTTCACTGCACCATCTTTCTTTTTGCCACCTTTCTTGCCTTTCTCAGTCACTCTAAACAGCATACCGAGTGTCTCTTCAGGTATAGGAGTAAACGCCATGACATCTTTCTCTTCGGCTTTTCCCTCGTCGATTTTCTTCTTAAGCTTTTGGTAAGCCAACGTAACTGACCAGTGAGTTCTTCCATCCCGGTCAATATAAACAGCATCCTGGTAATCTTTCGATTGCCTCTGCCTATATTCAATACTCCATCCAGCCTTCATAAGCATATCAAGTATTTGATCCCTCACCAACTGCTTCTGCTCCCTAAGACCCATTTCCTTTCCATCTGCACGCTCAACCGTTTCCTTTTCTGGCCTTGCGAGATCATTCCCTAAATCACTTGCGTCGATTTTTAACTTCTTTAGTGGACCCGCATTCTCAATTTTTTTATGATCGCCATTTTTCTTAACAATCTTCTTCTTAATCACTAACCCCGTTTCCTCATTCCTAATCTTCGGCGGCCTTCCCGGCTTTCGCTTCACTATTGACTGACATTGACCATCCCCATCATTACTAGCATCAAACTTCTTCTTCTTCTCGATTACCTTGCTATCTTTCTTCTTATAACTCGAAGAAGAAACCCCACATTGACTTTCTGCTTTGGGGGGCCTTCCCGGTTTCCGCTTCTTCTTTTTACTTGGAGCCGAAACCTCACATTTACCTTCATTTTTCGGAGGCCTTCCCCTCTTCGGTTTACTCGGAGCCGAAACCTCACTTTTAACTCCATTTTTCGGGGGCCTTCCCCTCCTACCCTTCCTTTTCTTTTTCTGCAAAACCTGCACTTTACCTTCCTCCTCAGACTCCACCATTAGCATCTCATCTTCATCGTCTTCTTTAACCTCCATATTCACTATCCCCATCTTAATCACTTGCTTTTCACCGTCACTCATTGCTACAGTCCTTGACCTCAAAACCCTACCGGTTTTCGGCAAATCATTCGACCGCTCGTTACCTTTTCCGGCCGAACTAATCTCCTCAACCCTCTTCCGCTTTCTCTCCACGGGTTCCTTGTTCAGATCAATCAACCCATCTTCGACTTCTCCGCTCAAGTCTGTCATCTTCACCGAAAAAATCCCAAATCCTGACCGGAAAAAAAAAACACAAACAGAAACGAAAACCTAAAATCAGAAAAGTAAATTAAAAAAATCCAATCATCATGCAAAGTTGCAAAAAAACAAAAAATCCAACAAAATAAATAAACGGTGTGACAACAACAACAAAAAAATTGAAATTTTACCAATGGCGCAACACAGGCGTGCAGCCGGAACGTAACCGATGCGATACGTACAGAGGAGTTGTATCTATATATTCTACAGCTTTTTCTCCATACACAAACACACACACAGAGAGGAGAGAGAAAGAGAGAAAGCACCGGACGGGGTTTAATTTTTATAGTGTATTGGGGATTTAGGGGAGAAGGGCCTTTATATTTAATGCGGCGTTGCTTTCTAATTTCTTATTTTTTGAGGGACTTGATTGTAATTTGTAATCCGGGGGGCAAGATTAACAAAATTTTCCCTCCATTATTGTTATTTGTTGTCATTAAAAATATTTTTTGAATTCCAAAAGCAGAGTTGACTTACTTTGACCATACCCTATTTTTCTTTTCGGAGTTTAAATTGCTATTTTGTCTTTATATTTTATTTTTTTGGAAATTAAAAACATTTTATTTTTTCTGAAATTTTTTCTAGCAAAATTAATTTCTTTTATCATGACCAGATTGTGTCATTATGATTAAGAATTTATCGGATTATGCACGTATTTATTTTGCAATCTGTAATAAATATGACAATACCCCAGTCAATGACTTGTAAAATAACATTTCAAATAATAAACATAAAAATATATTAATTTAATACATGATTATAACAATTAGTAAAGAAATATAGTATACTATAATAATAAAATTTATTAGTGATATCAATATTCATACAAATCTAAATAATAATACAAACCAATTTGTCAAAAAATATATAAACTTAATTGTAAAAAATTACAAAGATGTCATTAACAAAGAAAGAAGATAAACGTTTCATTGAGACAATAAATAAAAAAATTAGTAGGAAAAAAGTTACAAAAATGTAATTAACAAGTAAAGGGTATAACGAATCTATTAGAGAAAAAAGATTAAACAAATAAAAAAAACAAACATAAAATAAGAGATATTATGCTGGTCGATTAGCTAGTAATTAGAGAAAATGACTGAAAAATAGGAGATATTAGATGAAAAATGGAGATAATATAATTAAAAAAATATTACGAAAATGTCATTAGGGTTTCTTAAACTACACCAACGTTTGCTACTTTTATATATAAGAATACAAGATAACGGGCATATGATTATAATGTTTAGCAGCGAATGTGACTAGTGGTTTTTCTAGAATAGGCAATAACGAAATCGGATCATCGTTTTCATCATCGATGCAGAAAATAATTTTGTGATTTTTAAAACTACAATAAACTATATTATAGTTTGCATGGCGTTTAATACGTATAAATTGGTTTGAATTTTGTTGCTTTTCCGGAAGAACATTCATTTATACGACAAAAAATGCATAAGAGTCTAAAATGAAACAAATACAAGTAATTCTAGATATGCTCTTAGTTATTTTTTACATATTGAACATAAGATAATAAATATATTATTTATTCAATTATTAATTAAATCGATAGGACTTTATTCAGATCAAACCACAATAGGCTCAAACTCAGTTTATAAATGAATCGAGTTTTATAAAATCTCTCAAACTCGACCCAACTCATAGTTAATTAGGCTCGCCCCAAATACAATCAGGCCGAACAATCAAGTTTCGGGTTGGACCGACTCAATTGTCGATCCTAATTATTCGTTATTACGAAAAAAGAAACAAACGCATTCGGGCTCTGGATCAAATATTGTTCTGTAAAGTTTTGCAGCCCATTTGCTACCATGTATAAACGGCCTTCAATTTTTCAGGCCCACGATTTGAAATTAATAATTTATAAATTATTAATATTCAAACCAAATTTCTTAATTATTATCTATTTTATTTATATTAATAATCAGTAATTTCTGACTATTTAATAATTTTATTTTCGTGTGATAAAAAAAAAATATTATTTAAAAGAGGTTATTAACTTATCGAGCTTCTGAATCCAAATTGAAGATCCAAACATTCATTTTGGGCCTGCTGTAGTGTTTTGGGTTCTGTTAAAAGTTTTTTAATACAGTCCAAAATCCCAAATTGGGCCATTCTTTTTAATTTAATGTGAATTAATATATAATTATAATAGTAAAAGACAGAAATACCCTAAACTACTGTACACCTCCTTCACGCCTTTCTCCCCTCTACTGGCAGCTTCTTACTTTTTCTTTTAATTTATTTTTTTAATCATAAACACAATGGAAGTGTGAGCTGAGCCGAGCCGAGCCGAGTAAAACCCCAAAACTCATCAAACATAGAGAGAGAAAGGAAGAAGAAGAGAGTGAAAGTGGAGGTGACGGCGGCGATCGTTACTCAGAGGAGTGGACTACTACTACTACTACAAGGTACTGCAGCTGGACCGATCCGCCGGAGAAGACGACCTCCAGCTAAGCCTACACGGAACTCGCTATGAAATGGCATCCCCGACCAAAACCCTAGATAAATGTACGAGTATTTACTGTTTCTTACCTTCTATTCTGTGTGTAATTCTAGTTATTTATCTAGGTTTTTTTTCCAGGAGTACGTTGTGCATGATATTTTTGCCGCCAAGTGGGGGGAAGGGCGTATATTCAGGCGGTTTGGCCGGAAGGCGGCTGCTATTGAACGGATGTTATCTTGTAGGTAGGTGATTTGTTTTGGGCACATTAATATTAGAGATTTAGTCCTTCCATAGTTGCTGCTTCTGATCTTGCTTTTGCTTTTTCTTCTCTTTTGCAGAGTTTTACCCTTTCGAGCATCCCAAAATGAAGTTTGCTACTGAAGTATGGTATGGTGAAACAACTCTTCTGTACTGTCGATTTGCTTTTTTGTTCGTATTTATGATTTGACACAGCAGTAAGTAGTTTCGACTTTGCATGAAGAGAAAGATCTCTGAGTTTTGAGGGAACATTTGAATTGCTGTTGGATTAGTAGCTTATTGGTCTACCTCTTTACATAAAAGAAAAATTATGAACTAATGGACTCAATTGCTGGGGTTAGTTTTTATGCAGTGCATTGATTGTCAGAGGATATGACAAGTTATTTTACATCAGTATGAGGAAGAAGTTTTATGATACATATTCTGAATGTATAAGAAACCACAACCTGTTCTATTAAGTAGGGACTAACATAATCAATGTTTGAATGCATTATTCTGTGCTTTCTGGTCTGTGTTGTTAAACATAGGAGCTTTTGGTTTATGGGTTTTGGTTGGTGGCCGTAGGATTTTGTTTTTGGAAGTAGCTGGCAGGTGGAAATGAATCCTAGTCGTTGATCGGAGTTGGTTGTCGCTCCCATGGAGTAGCTGATGACAAATTTCTTCTAACTTTATTATGTCATGGCACTGGCAAAGTTATTGTCCAACTGCCTTTATGACCATTTTATTGATTCGTTTGTTGTTCAGTGTTTATAAGTTTATTTTTGGAATTTCTAGCTTGTTTTGAGATCTGATTTTCGTCTTTCTTGTGGCATGTTCAACAGATTTGGCCACTTTTGAGAACTTAGATGCTGAGGACTACTGTCGCCCCTCGAGATGGACTTGTTGTTCCCTTCGGGTCAGAGCTCCGAGAAGCTCAGCCTCCCTGCCCTACGATCCAAAATGAACACCGACCCGGAAGGTTATAGTTCGGAGTTGAGCCTTATCTACAACCAATTCAAGTCGTCTCTTGGGCCGTTTCTCCAGCAAGCGGCATTGATTTTCACCTCAGTCAGTGGAATTGCCTCCGACTCCTACAGTGGCTAAGAATTGAGGTGACCGCACCATGTTTCTAGCCCACATTACTCTGCTTTATCCGAAAGAATCGGCCCAATTTCGATGGTATTATGAGAATGAACCAGAAGCATAAGAATGATCCCAAGAATAAAGCACTTCAAAATCTTTTGTTCAAGATGTTGCAGGTATTCTGATTTTACTAGGTAAACTTTTTTTGTTTTTTGTTTTTGAGCTATCTAATTTTGAATTGTGACAAATTAGCAGAAGGATGAAGCAAAAGCAAAAAGAGCACTTATTACCCTGTGTGATCTTCATCGGAGGAAAGTCTGGTTTGAAGATAGGCTGCAAATGCTTGTGTATGGCATGTTTTCATCCATCACATTTATTTTATTTTTGTTATGTTCTTTATTTCGTATTAACTTCTGCTGACCTCTAAATGTATTTTAATTTAATTTTCCAGGACCATGATTGCTGCCTTGTCGTTTCTTCTTGATTTTGAAAAGACTATGGCGATGAGAGTGACGATTCTGGTGAATATGAGCCAACAACCCCACAACCTAAAGTAGTATTGAATACAGAAGCTGTTTTTACAAGGTTGGATACTTTTTCGTTTTAGGGAAAATCAATAATTTTGTTTTGGGCATACTATTCCAAGTTAATAGGAAGAGATTCACCTTCCACTTACAAGGTCGATACTGAACTCATATGACCAGCTTACTTTGACATTAACATAATAGCAAAAAAACAATCAAAATATCGAGCAGTTAATTTCTATTTTGTCTAGTCCTGAATATTTTGCTAAAGTGATGATTGAAGCAATTGTGCATACTTTGTCAAAACGATTATTGGAAACAATTGTGTTGTTTCTGATTGGTTTATGCATAGTACAGGCAACTATGGAAAGCATATTATTTTTGTTATTGTAGATGTGTATAGCTCACTATCTATAATGTAAGTTTGCTGATGTAGGCAACCCATAAAGGAACATCAGTAATCGAAAAGAAAAAGGAAGGGAAAACTTTGTATTATAGTACACAGTTTTTGGAGAAGTTGATCGTGAAAAAGTTTTTTGGAGAAGTTGATCGTGAAAAAGTTTTTTGGACGTTCCATCAATATTACCCAAAATTTGTGTACTTTATAAGCGTACTGTTTTTGGTGATTTTGATCATGAAAAAGTTCTTGGGATGTTACACCAATTTTACCCAAAATTCTAGTACTATATTATACATTCTTTGGTGATTTTGATCATGATTTTTTTTTCTTCTGAAGATCCACCATTTTTATCAAAAAATTGTATACTAGCATGCACTTTTTGGTTATTTTGACCGTGAAATTTTTTTTGGGACGTTCCACCAATTTTACCGAAAATTTATGTAATAACATACAGTTTTTAGTGATTTTGATCGTGAATATTTTTTTATGGATGTTCCACCAATTTTACCAAAAAATTGTGTATTACATATAGTCTTTGGTGATTTTGATCGTGAAATAATTTTTTGGATGTTTCACTAATTTTATCCAAAATCCGTGTACTACAATTTTTTGGTGATTTTGATCGTGAAAAAGATTTTGGGACGTTCTACAAGTTTTACCCAAAATTTGTTACTATAGTTTTACAATTTTTGGTCATTTTGATCATGAAAAAGTTTTTTGGGACGATCCACCAATTTTATCAAAAATCTGTGTACTATAGTATACAGTTTTTAATCATTTTGATTGAGAAATAGTTTTTTGGACGTTGCACTAATTTTAACTAAATAATATGTATTATTGTATACATTTTTTGTGATTTTGATCGTGCAATAATTTTTTGGACGTTTCACCAATTTTACTCAAAAACTGTGTACTATAGTATACAGTTTTTAGTGATTTTGATCGTAAAAAATTTTTTGGGACGTTCCACCAATTTTACCTACATTTGTGTATTATAGCATACAATTTTTGGTGATTTTGATTGTGAAATAGTTTTTTGGACGTTCCTTCCATTTTACCAAAAATCTGTGTACTATGGTGTACAGTTTTTATTGAATTTCATCGTGAAATAGTTTTTTGGACGTTCCACCAATGTTACCCAAAATATGTGTACTATAGTGTACAGTTTTTTGTGATTTTGATTATAAAATAGTTTTTTGGACGTTCCACCAATTTTAACTAAAATTTGTGTATTAGTATACAGTTTTTGGTGATTTTAATCGTGAAATAGTTTTTTGGACGTTGCACCAATTTTAACTAAAATCTGTGTACTATAATATTAATTTTTGGTGATTTTAATTGTGAATAAGCCTTTACACACACTACAACAAAGACACACACTAAAAAAAGATACACACACTACATCGAAACACACACTAAAAACAATTACACACACTAAACCGAATAACACACTAAAAAGATATATACACACTAAACCGAAAATATACACTAAAAAATACGTACACACTACACTAAAAACACACACTAAAAAAAATACACGCACTACACCGAAAATACACACTAAAAAAAATACGCGCACTTAAAAATATACACACACTACACCGAAAACACACACTAAAAAAATACACACACTACACCGAAAACACACAGTAAAAAGAATTACACACACTACACCGAAAACACACATTAAAAAAATATACACACACTATACCAAAAAGACACACTAAAAAATGCACACACTACACCGAAAACACACACTACAAAAAATACACACACGACACCAAAACACACACTTGGAAAACATACACTAGACAAAAAACACACACTAAAAAATACGCACACACTACAAAGAAAACACACACTAAAAAAAATACACACACGACACCGAAAATACACACTAAAAAAATGCACACACGACATCAAAAACACAAACTAATGTGTATTTACGGTGTAGTGCGTGTTTATTTTTTTATTGTGTGTTTTTGGTGTGGTGCATGCTTTTCTTTCCAGTGTGTGTTTCATGGTGTAGCACATTTTCTTTTTAATGTATGTTTATGGTTTAGTGCATTTTTTTAGTGTGTGATTTTGGTTTAGTGCGTGTTTTTTTTCGAGTGTGTATTTATCAGTGTACTTCTTGTATAATTGAGTGTGTGTTTTCGATATAGTCTGTGTTTCATTTTTCAGTGTGTGTTTTTCCAGTGTGTGTTTATGTGTATTAGTGCATGTTTTTATTTCCAATGTGTATTTTAGGTGTAGGCATTTTTTTTCAATGTGCGTTATGGTGTAGTGCATGTTTTTCTGGAGCTCTTTGATTTTTTTAACGATGTAGTGCATGGTGTTTTTTCCAGTTTGTGTTTACGGTGTAGTACGTATTTTCTTTATTAATGTGTGTTTTCGGTGTAGTGTTTGCACTTTCTTTAGTATTTGCTTGCAGGGTAGCGTATGTTTCACGGTGTAGTTTTTTTCTTTTTTTTTTTTAGTGTGTATAGTGTGTTTTGTAGTTTTTAGTGTGAATTATTTTCCTGTCCATACAAAGATTTTTTCTTCCATTCGTCGTATTTAGGATTTATAAGTCAGAGATCGATAAAGTTAACGAAACATAGCCATTATATATTAGTTGGGAAAATCTAGCAGCCGAGCCGTTAATTTCCTTTACAGCCCATTTTTTGATTCGAAGCTAAGAAAACGAATATCCACACGATACACAAAAACTACATTTTCTTCCAAATACGCCCTTTCCTTTTTTTTTTCACGGCTCTGCTTCTTGTCAGAAATCTCCGATTTTCGAAGAAGCAGTTTCGGTGACGATGCCAATGGCTGATGATGTTTTCTTGTCGACCACCGGCAATTCATTAGCTTTTTCTTCATTGTATGTCAGTTTGTCCGAAGCTGAAGCTGAAGCCGAAGCTGATCTCTCTTTGCTTTTACCCCAAACCACAGAGTAAAGCCCAACCACTATAATTGCTGCTCCTATTAAGCTGTTGTTTCAATGCATACAATCTCCTTTTTAATACTTTTATTTATTCTAACAATATATTTATTTTAAATTTAATGATAATAATAATGGTGAAATAATATATACAGTTAAACCTCTATAAATTAATACAGTCGGGGCCAGGGAAATTCTATTAATTTAGTGAATTATTAAATTATCGAGTTAATAATTTAAAACGTTTTCACCGATTCGGGACCGGGAGAAACTATTTTGTAATCGAAGTTATTAATTTATCGAGTATTAATTTATCGAGGTTCTGATGCAGTTATATTATATATATACCTCCCGAGATGGACTTGCTCGGACAAAATAATGGCTCCCAAAACCGCGGTGATGATCATGCTTAGCGGACTAAACGCAGTCACGAAAACCGGCCCTCTCGACTTGTTCACTACGCTTTGCATGTAGTACGCAATTCCGGAGCACACAATCCCCTGAAACACATAATTTAATGACATAAATACATTATTTACCAAAATTTCAAAAAATAAAATTATGTTAAATTTATAACTAATTAGTGATCGAAGTGTACTTACGGAATACGCAGCAGCTAAAAGCCTAGAATCGAAGCCGATAACCCAAGCGCTCTTACGGCGTTCCATTATTACAGCAGCAATTCCGCCTTCCACCATTCCCATTATACATATTAATGATGTTAGAGATAGCTCTGCTGGGTATTCCTCTAGTGTTTTATTCTGTTTAATTAATATTAATTATTTGAAAAAAAAATATAATAAAAAAATGAAAAAATAAAAGAAATTGGAGGGAAGAAGAGGAGGTAGTTATTTATACTTGTAAGATAAAGAAGGCAGACCACCCCACTATACAGCAGAGCAACATAATAGTTCCGGTGACCCAGTGCTGGTCGGTGGCGGCACTGGCGGCTTTGTGGTGGCTGCCGCCGTGGGAGTACCATAAGATATCGACGACGGGGCCTTTGTACAGTGTCATTAGCATTGCCCCTGTTACTGTTATTAGTGTGCCTATCACCTTTGCTAAACTATGTATCTTTTTCAGATTTATCTTCTCTAACCTGAAAAATTATTTCAAATCAAAAATATATTTAATTTGATTTTAATCTACATATATTTAGTAATTACTTTTTATTTAATTGATGTACAATTAATTAAGATAATGACTATAAAAAAGGGGTGAGAGTGATATTTAATTACCTGAAAATGACAGCCATTATGAATGTAATGGCTGGCAAAACATTAACAGTGGCCGAAGCGAATGTTGCCGATGTATACTGCATTCCGACGTAGTACAAATTCTGGTCGAGCACCGGCCTAATTAATTTTTAAATATTTACAAAATTATTTGGTATTAATTAATTAAAACAAGAACAATTGTTACTGTAGATATATATTGTGTTCAAGAACATTACTCTAAGAAAGCCAGCACCATTATCTTGAAAAATACCGATTTCGTCATCTTAGGCCTTATTTTCCTGTAAAAAAAATACCCGTAACAACATCCAACGTAAGATCGAGCGTAAAATGTATATGAAAAAAAAAAAGACAAAAAAAAAATAATGAACGTACTTTTCAAGAAAATAACCGAACGGGGCGAAAACGAGAGTAGCAACTGCATGGCGATAGACAACCAAAATCCAGTGACTGAATCCACCCTTCAAGGAGATAAGGGCAATTATGTACATTCCAGCATAGCCAAATTGAAGAGCAATCATAGCTAAAT